CAAAGATTGTCTAAACATAAATTTTGCTCATCGACCATATGATGACGATAAAGGATCATGTTTACTTTCTGTCATTATTAGCTTGCTATAGAGATGGCCATGCTAGAGTAGTTATCAAACAATTCGATAAACTACCATAATATCTGTATTTTAAGGAACTGTTGCTATTGCAAAGGTATACAGTAGTATACGTAAGCATAGTAGAAATACAAGATGAAGCAGTACTAACGGCGAACATGGCTGTTGTTTCTTGATAACAACGCCATGAAAAGTGATCATTATACTTCCGATCGTCATGGTTTGCTATGCAGAATCGATCTTGTCAATGGCAATGTTGTAACAGCACAGTGAGGATAGGCAATCTGATTAACCGCTTTAGTGTCTATGTTATATAGATTGTAAGTAGCCTTGGTTAATTATTGTAGAGATACAGTAGTGCAGGTGTAGAACAAGCTGAATGATTAAGTAATCGTTGATTACTGCTCAATAGCACAGCGAGAAAAGAGCTAATTTACTTTCATCACCTACATTTCTACCAATGGCTATATTCTAGTAACACAGAAATAATGCCAGATTCTCTCAATTAATTATTACTTAACCATAATGATTCGATTACAAGTGGCCTTGACTACTGCAGAAATTTTATAAATGTAGTAGAAGCCAGTATTTTTGAAACCTTCTGTGATGACTTAAAAACAATATTTCAGGCCATGGGAAAAGCACAATATCAAGCAATAACGAATTGCTGACGATATGATAATTAAAGCTCGATGCACTACGATAAAAGAGAATGCTACTTACTATACTTTTAGTACATGCACTTTTAGCCATGATTCGATGCTACTGTAGTAACACAAAAGTGCCGTCAGTTTCTATTAATTTTATCAATTATTACTACTGTAAACTCTGCTGTGGAGATAGTAAGGGCGAATAGAAGCTAGTATTTTGTAAACATTCTGTAGTCAATCTATTTAATAAACCATATTCCAGGCTAAAGGTAAAAGCACAACGTAAAGTAATGACGAATTATGGACGATATGAAGATTAAGGCTCGATGGCACAGCGATGAAGGATAATACTATTCTATTTTAGGTCATCATTAGCTTATAAATGGCTCTATTTCAGTAGCCAAAAAAATAATACCAATTGCCATTGGTGACCATAGTCTGTAGATTGCAATTGGCCTTAACTACTATAAAGGGAGTGAAAGCATGGTAGAAGCAATTATTTTATCTGTTTTGAATGGAAATTAATTCTAATGGATGATTGCAGTTCCCGTAATTTGATCGAGTTGGAGCTAGATCTTTAACATTCTGTCAACAAAGGTCACATTAAATAAGGCAGCATTGGCTGATAAAGTAGCTGATCTATAACGGCTTTGCAATCCAAGTTCACCATTGTAGAACCACTGTATAATAGGACTGCTATTCTATATATTGAATATAACTCATGTACTAGATGCTATTAAGAAGCTGCTATTCCATCGTTAGACTGTAAATATTCAATAAGTTAGAGACATAGTGTAATCATAGTATCTTCCATTTTTAAAATCTGGACCATGTAACGCCTAGATCGATCAATCTTATGATTGATACAAGTGATCAAAAGTCGATTGAATAAAATTGTGCTTGCATTTATAGGTTAATTTCCTTGTTATGGATGAAGGACAAGATTATCGAGATAGTTATAAAGGCAGAACAGCAGATAAACTAGCTATTCCTATCGTATCGTTGGCATTTATTGATGCTTGTATCCGGCAACATAAATTAGTCGACCACCAGGATTTCTTGCTAAGTGGCAAGCCTTCGTCTCAGTCTTTAGCGAAAGGCAAAATAGTGGGTAAGTCTTGAATGATACTTTAATTATAGATTAATGAATTGATCTTTGATATAGATAGAAATGTTCTTGACAATCTTGTTAGACGAGTGTTTTTAAAAATAATTTGATTTGATACGGTGCTAGTTTCTTTAGAGCTAATATAAAATGTTCGTGCTACAATCTATGTTTTACTCTTTCCATTTAACTGCAATTTAGCTTTCAATTGCTCAATAATTTTAAACATTCATAAAACGAATTAATAATGCGTAAAAAGTGTGAGCTAGAATGGCTACAGTTTGTGTACGACTAGAGTTTAGGTTACTATCGTGATTGCAAGCTTTATATTAACAATATGGTACTAGACCTTAATGACGAGAATGCTCATCGTTTGGTAGAATATAATTCAAGAATTATATTTCATGTAGTAATCCACAAAACACAATGCCCATGCTTGTTGTATACTAGTATATGTTTCATACTGATAACGCTGTTGAACGATATCAAATCTTTCTTCCTTTCAGTTCAGGAGAGATATTTATGGATTGAATTAATCTTGAATAAGAGCTTGATATAATAACGATTTATCAAGAATGTAGAGCTTAGCAATTTAACATCTTTTAGGTATTAACAAACTCAATCCTTCTTAGGTATTAACCTTTTCAATTATTTTTGTTTGCAATTAATACTACCAGTGCCAAGGGTTTCTATTCCGAAGAGATCCCGTTATACAGCATTTGATTTAAACAAGATCCAGTTAAGTAACTGTAAATAGAGAGGCTTAAAGTTCAATATTGAAGTTTTTAGAATACCTTGCTACTTTGTAATCTCTCAAATTAAATAACATAGTTCTAATGTTATTACTTTACCTTACTGATTTATCCTAGTATTTTGTATTTCATGTGGATAATGACGCTCTTACCTATTAGAATGAATTTTTTTTTCATAATCTCTCCAAGCTGCATAGCTAGCATATTTCTATGTCCTTTAAATGTGCAGGGATAAAGCCTTTGGAACACATTTCATACCACAATCTCTTCCAACCGCATTTTGCAACATTTCTATCTAGACCTTGTCATATAGAATGCAAGTGTCATATTTATTAGTTTACGGTTTTTATTCAACATTATAGCAGCCAATGTAGATATTAATTGAGCTTCGAAATCTTGTACATGTTTTAAATGCCCGTATGTATTTGCAATCACCTGGCCTATACTTATACAAACGATAAATACTACTGTATTTAATAAATCTTTACTATCTTTGCAAACCTTACTTTACATTTATGAGAAGTTATTTTACCATTTATAAATGCAAATTATAAGTAATATCATGAAATTATTGCTCGATAAAAAATGACCGTACTAGAACTAAACTGCCATTTTACAGTAAAGACATTTTCGTTATCAACATTCTCGTAATTGCTTCGATAATTAATGTATTAATTAGAGTATGGAATAATAACAAACAAGGAAGTGATAAATTTGACAGCAATTATAATATAATCAAATTGAGCCTATTGCAGGTAATATTGTAATATGTAAAGTTCTTATAAATATCCCGTAAATACAATTCAAGGCTATATTGAAACCTCTCATTATGCATAGGATAATGGGATAAACGAAAAAGAAAGAAAATTTGCAGCTATCGAACTACATCAAGAAAGGACTGAAAATTTATCTTTCCGTGTGTATTCACATCGAAAAATGGTCAAACAGGAAAATATTCTTAATAAAAATAATATGAAAGATAAGGATTGCAATAACATCAGGGAATACCGATATTGCCAAGATCTTGATCAAGCTGTTCAATTATATTCATACTTGTATCATCTCTACACAAAGTCTCCACATAATTTGCAGAAATGTTGGACCACATTGCCTATAAATATTGGTTCTGATAAAGCGAATGAGGTACATTTTTTACTGAATCGATTAAACAAACTAATATCATATTTTGTGATCATAGTGTTAACGTTTGAAAATTAATAGTATAACTACAGTGAGGTTCTTCAATTTAAATTGTACAGTAGCTCTTAACGTAAGTCAATCATAGCAGTACCATATTTTGTGTTCATTGCATATATCAAGTTCTCTTCAGTTAAATTTGCAGCAGATGATGAAAATAATTTACCACATTACTGCGTCTATGATATGGATGGGCAATTGAAATCATTTTTCATCGTTGCAGGTGATGGCTGAATTCCAAGCTAATGTAACTGACCGCAGTTTATCTCAAAATGTAGCCTCGTTAATACAATGCCTATGGGTAGAAGCAGTCGGCGAGTTACAAAGTATACTCTCAACTTCTGTAAATGAACTTAAAACTACCGATCTTGCGGTTGCAGAAGGCATTTTACTCAAGTTGAAGCAGAGCGTATCTGAAAGTAACCATGATAGCGTGACTGAGCTTAACAAACAATTTTACGAATTAATTCCTCACATAGATTCTAGTGTATACATCAACTCAAGACGATTAATCAGTCAGAAGCAAGATTTGTGCCAATTAATTCATGATATGATTACTGTTAATGAAGCAAGCAATTGGCAACTCACTGGCAGCGTTAATGCCCAATATAAGGCTCTATCGTGTGATATTCAAGAATTAAATGCAAACAGCGATGAATTTAACTCTATCAAGAATTATATCTTATCATCATTGAAGGAGTAAATCTAAATACTTTACTTGTTTGTTTGGATCTTATTAAAATTTTAATTAGCATTTGTTGAGTGATGCTGTAGAGGATCGATTTGAGATTTCTTTAAACGCTTTCCATTTTAGGAATGATTCCACCACGGTCAACATAAAATATATATATTCTGTGGCTCGTAAAGTCGAGAATAAGTTATTTACTCATGAAATGGGTAATAAGAAACTATTATTTCATGCTAGTCAAGTAAGTTGAATTGGCTCTATCCCTATTCTTAGCCTAATCTTAATCTTGTGTCCTTTTGAATATGAATGAACTTACTCTGTTCGTAAAAATGAAATAGCCTAGGAACAAGATAGAAGACTTTTGCAATGAAATTTAAATATTTTTTAATAAATTTACTTTAGGTTAAAAATTACGTTGGCATTTTATCAAGGTAATATTTCCAGGATAAAGTATTGGTTAATTGATAATACTGTTTAGTGCAATAAACGAATTCGGTGATGATTTATATTCTACATCTGTATACTGTAGGGGTTTACTGTTGCCCAAAATAGTTGTAAGTGAGTATGGTGGCGAAAGATCGGATTCTGGTAATCTTGGTAGTGGAATTTACTTTGCCGATTCATGCAGGTTTGAAGAACATTATTTTGAGGCTATTACTGATATTCATTGTATTGAGGCTAATTAATATATATTATAATTCATCAGTACAAGTTTGCAATATTGCAACATCAACAAGAATAATGGCACACGAATGATGCTCGTTTGCGAAGTAGCTCTAGGAAAGAGTAAAGTAAGCAAATTTCGGTCATAATTAGACTTTGATATCCTGATCGATTGTCGTAAATATTACGTTGCAAATGTAATATAGATTTATAGAGACCAACATTTAGAGCTTACTTCACCGCCATCAGGCTATGATAGTGTGCATGGGATTGCCAGCTCTGAAAATGACCTATCCTATTTCACGGTAAGCTTTAAAAAGAATACGAATTAAATAAATTTTCATAATTTTAATTTTTTGTCTTGGTATGTTTTTTAGAATAACGAATACGTCATCTACAACTCAAAGCAACAAAAGCTTAGGTTTGTGATCTCATGATGGTAACTTATGTATATCCAAAAAGGAATTAATATCATGTACGCTTTGCAGGTATTTAATAGAATTTTCATTATCGAAAGACCCTACGAAGAAAATCAAATCGACTACAGGCCTAACTGGACATGAATTTATACCATCACCTTTATTTCTTAATGGGTCAGGTAAAGTCAATTCTTGGGTACTTCACTATTCTCTTTTATTTCATATTCCTGATAGTTATTTGACAATATGTATTGTTCTATTCAAGCAGTCCAAATTGACGTAAATGAGTTGCAAAATAATCAGTTGAATAAGCTCACCGAAGCTGGATTAAAGACAAGTAACAGTGAAACACTTCCACTGACTGACGTTCATTTTAGAGTGAAATTATTAGACTTAGCTTCTGAGGTTTGAGCGATTGTAATGTAATTGTACAATATAAATAAGTAGATTTTTGATATATTCCAGTTGTATAGCGACATATTATATCAATATTAGCAAATGTATTAATTGTATAATACAGGTTACATTGTAATCAAGTACAGTATGAACTGAATTTATATTCAATGTTTGAATGGAGAATATGTCATGGATTACAACATTAGGTTGTGGTTTTGCAACGCTATTATAATAATTCGAATAACTCTATTGAAGCAAAGTACGTTTTCCCATTGGATGAAAGAGCTGCAGGTAATAGGGTGAATAAGAGTTTAATATTTTAGTCATAGTGTATGAAATCCTGATTCTTTTTTCTGTAGTTTGTGGCTTTGAAGCATTTATCAATAACAAGCACATTGTTGGTCAAGTTAAAGAAAAGGAACGTGCGCATAAAGAATACAAAGAGGCTGTCAGCCGAGGCGATGGAGCTTATCTTATGGATGAAGATTCTCCTGTACGTAAATAGTATATTTTTGATAACTGTTTGGCAATGTACGATTTTAGGGATTGCTGTACAATTCGAGCTCTGTATTCTAGAAGTCGTTGTAAAAGATGATCTAATTACTTATCTATATGTAACAGGACGTTTTTACCGTTAGCGTTGGCAACCTTCCTGCGAAAGCAAATGTTGTTATTAAGATTACATACGTAACCGAATTAGCTATAGAAGATGAATACTTAGATTTCTTTTTACCCTCTAATCTGGCTCCATGGAAGACCGGAGCTGCTCTCTCTAACAAGACACAAGTAACGTCCTATTCAGAAACCTTCATCCTTTTTTAAATCTTCAAATGTGTTTAATGAAAATCGTATCCACTAATCAATTTCATGGCTTACTAGGATACAGTCGGTGTCGTCAAGATTGATGAGGCTAAAGCAATGTGAGAAATTCTGTTGTTATTTTGAGTAATAATACTATAATTATTTGCAAACAAATTGCCCTAGTACGATTACGACAAATATCATTTTCTACATGTAAACCGAAAATTACTTGGCTAATTGTTCTCGTTTCATCTGTCATCTATTGATTAACTAAAGCGATGCATCAATACAAGTTAGCGTCGAAATGCCATTTGAAATTAGGGCCATCATGTCGCCAACGCATAATATCAAGCAAAAGGTAAGAATCGAAAGCTTTGGATAAGATTTTTCATGTTACTTTCTAAAAGCATTTGAAAATAACATTATTTGACAGTGCACTGCCACCAGAGCTGTTGTCGATACAGGAAAAATAACGTCGTTCGATAAAGGCTTTCGATTGCTCATTCGATTAGCTGAAATACACGTTCCTAGGATGTGGGCTGAAACTCATCCAGAAAAGGGCAGCCAGGTTAGTATTTAAGGACGATGAAATACGGATATATATTGCTACTCTAACTATACTGCATTTATAATTTCATAACTATACTACTCGTTAACTATAAATTGTAGGCCTGCATGCTAACATTCTATCCAGAATTTGAAACTGTGGAAACGAAAGAGCCGGAAATTATTTTAGTTCTTGATATGTCTAATTCAATGAAGGTCTCATTATCTGATATATCTTGGATTTACATAATCGGCATCTACACTCGTAAATTTGCGTTAGACTTGGCGTCATTCCAGACCCGGCATAATTTAAAATGGAATAACATTTTCTATCTTGAAAGGATTGCTTGCTTGATGTGAAAAAATTGGCATTATTGCTATTGAATAACTTACCATCAAATTGTCTATTTAATATTGCTGTATTTGGAACCTGTAAGCAATATAATTTATAAATTCTTTATACGGATTTGATGCATCATATCGATTTGAACAATTTTTATCGTCAAAAGCGCACAATGAACTTTTTCCTTGTAGCCAACAAGTTGCAAAGGACACTATCAATATTGCGCAGCAATTCATCATGGTAAGTTGAAGCAGATACTGCTGTTGTAATACTGCAGTTACTATACTTTTATATCAGTTAACGAATAATCTATATATCGCTTCAAAATATGAAGCTATCATCACTAACGTATCTGTCATTAATTTCCTAGACATTATCAGCTACATGGGGAGATAGCCAGTTCTTTAATATTTTAGATAATTATCATCACATTGCGAAAGGATTAAAGTCCAACGGAGCTTATAATTTGTTTGTAATATCAGATGGTCACTTTCCCGCTGAAAACTCAATTATTGACATCACCAGAAAAGAAATTAATTGTTTGAGAATATTTACATTTTCAATCGGGTTTGTGGTTCTCTACTCTTGAAAAGTTAATGCTAATCGTTTTGTATTTATGTTGGTTAATGTTAGGTATAAGATATTGCTTTTATGCAAGTTCGATACTTTTTTAATTCTTTAATTCTTTACCGTTTGATTATTATAATTTTGACTATGCAGGAATGTATGCAATCGTTACTTTATGCGATTACTTGCAAAAGTTGGGGCTGGTTACCATGAGCATTTTGATAGCAATTTAAAATCGAAATGGAATAGCAAGGTCGGTTGTTGTGTATCCATTATTTAAGGGATAATGATTATCTTCATAGTAACAAGCTTTTCTAAAGTATAGTTTTCTTGCCAGAAAAGTTACTAATCATTTCTTTGAGATTTCAAACTACTCTCATTGTGGCTACGAAATTTATCTTTGGTAGATTAAGAAGCAGATTGAGAAAGCATTTCAGCCAACATTAACTTCTGTGAATGTAAATTGGCAACAATTTGGCCAAAGTTATCAATCAAATATGCAGGTATTATTCTGCTTATAAATAGAAGATAAAAGCATTCGGTATCAAACAAAAATTTTAAAACGTAAAAACATTGCAAATTTGATCTTAGTGAGGAATTGGATTAGTTGTAATTTCAACTTGCATTTATTATCAGGCGCCAGCTGATATTGTAGCTTTATTTAATGGATCACGGCAAGTAATCTATGGATTTATTCCTAACTGCTTGCAGGTAGAATTATCGTTTGAACTATATGAACTACACTTCAGTTTGTGTATTACAAGCTTTTAGAAGAAAATTTTTCAGTATAGTTATTTATACCTTGTAGGCAACCTTAGAGGCAGAAATAGGTGGGACACAAATTTCAACCGTCGTCTCTACTTCGGAATTAAGCAAGACATCAGGAAAGGTAACCGCCAATCTTATACTTCTATTTTTATATTATACCTACACTTATACATCGCATCCGATTTACCACTTCTGGTAAAATATAACTGAATTCTAATTTCAATTCTTAAATTCTTAGATCTTACACCAGTTGACAGCTCGAGCACTTATTCGCGATTATGATGAAGGTGCATACAATAATGATCGAACAAATCATGAGGTATATAATACAGTTAAAGTGTTATTAATATCGCTATAATCTATAGCATGAACTGACAATGGCAAATATGATTTGTAAAATTTATTAGGCGTTGAAGATTGATCAAAAGTCGGCTATTATTGAATTAAGTAAAGACTACTCTATTGTTAGTCCTTTTACAAGCTTTGTCGCTATTGAAGATCGAACTCAGGTATACGTACGATATCATCGTTTCTTAATACTCGTATTTCAACTCACATATATACCACTTATAGCAATCAATCTATTGCTCAAAATAAATATCAAGGAGTTAGATTACGAATCAGAGGTGTTCAATCTGGATAAACTTCTTAAAGCCGAGAACGTCGATTATCTACCTTATGTTTCGTGGAGTGGAGATTCGGTATTATACTTTAAGTTAATTATTTTTGACTTATTAGCTGAAATATTCGGAAATAAATTTGTTTTAATATGATGTACCCTAGTCTAGAAAATGCTTGCACATACAGCTATAGATTACTTATAGCTTCTAAATATTTCTTCTCTTGATTAAGCTGTATTGAAATTGTTTGGAGGCTTACGGTACCTCAGTCGTAACAATAAGATGTGCTATAATTAGATAAAATTTCAATATCATCCTTGAACGAAATTTTCGTAGTTTGTAAATTTGTTACACTAGGGTGATTTAATCCTAGGTTGTTGATTTTTGTTTCTTTTAGAGTCTTGCAGAAAGCCAAGAAATGCCCTCTACTGTTTGCCCTGTAAGTACAACTAGTCTAGACTCCCGCTTAATTTAGTGGAAATTAATTTAGTAATTTACCTCAGTAAGTATCTATACTTTTATTGTTTATTTACCGTTACGTGGAAGTTATGGATCTTTACTGATGAATTTCTCGTGATTAATTACCTGCCAATAATATGATCTTCCATAACTACATGAAATGACAACATCAGCCATGAATGGAATTTACTTAAGTCATACAATTATGAAACTAGGACGATGTAATTGTAAATTTTTGTGTTGCATACTTTCATTATTTCTTAGATTATTACAGAGACTCAAGAAGGGCTCGGTCTTGATTACGCTGTAAGTATAACTAATTAATGGTAAATTTAGTATCGTTTGTGAACATTAATCAACGTCACTAAATATCTATGCTTATTATCAGAATCATTTGTTTTCCTTTGATTAAATGTTATGAATTCTTACTTATGGATTTTTTACTTAATTATATGTCACACATAAGTTGGATGGGGTAGATGGGGATTATGAAATGGATACTGATAACTTTGTCCAGGAAGAAGCAGATGAAGAGAAATATTGTCCTGACTTCTTTTACGATTTTGCAATGGATTTATGCGTATCTGAATATGATGAAAATAAGCGGTCGAATTTTGTTAGTTACGACGGGTATGTTAAAATAGTGAGAATGGTGCAAGTTTTAGCATCTATTTTCTTTGTATTGTTGTAGAAGCCCAATTGCTGTATAGCACATTAGCTTCCATGCTATAGTTCCTCTGGTTCTTTTAAGTTATAGTACTGACTTTAAATGTAGCGATTACAATTGTGTAAGGGACTAGGTAGGGGATTATTATTACGCTTATGTCCTATTCTAAAGTTTGCATTGGAGTATCAAGGAAGTTGCTGATACTTAGTGCTATATTATTTCGTTGCTTAATTCATCGATGTCATCACATCCTAATAATTAGGTAGAATCTGTAGTGTGCGTGTAAGACTGATAAGATGACATCTTTTTTAGCTTTTCCAATACTTTATACATTTTCAGCTTATATCGGGATATTATCAGCTATGTACAACGTTGATTTTATTAATATTCATCTGATGTCAATAAATTTTTTTGCTATCTACAGTAATGCCGAAGAACGAGAGTATATAAGTACTGCAGAAGAACTTTGTAAATTTAATGAGCCCGCATGTTTGGACCTTATGGATTCGAACAGTCTGGAAATGTATGTATGCTGCATTTAGTCCGTTGAATGGCACTATTAATAATTGCTATGATTCGCTGCTTTACAGTAAAAATGTTTCGTGTACTTTATCGGCTATCTCTATATAAATTCGGTCTTCTAATTTGTATAGAGTTGGCTCGCAAAGTACAGTAAACATGAAAATTTTAATTTAGTGTGCAGTGATAGAATTAATCAACATTGCTGGAGTTGTATATCAAGCTGTTTAATAATATTTATGTTACTTACAATTAAATTCAATAACTGATTAGACTCTAGCAAAAAGAATAATAAATTAGTGACAGGTTTACGGCATATACTATTGGATTCAAATGTGTAACTTAGAGTTGACCAGATATACCTTAGCAGGAGTAGATTTCGAGATTTCGATATAAGAATTATGGTGATCTATGTATGATTTCGTATTAGAATTGCTGGACAATTTATTAAAACATAATCTAGAGTACATAATATCTTTTGCTTCATCTTACAATTATACGTATAAGTATCGGAATATAAGAAAGAACCTTCAGTTGACTACTTTCCTTCATTTTAAAGCAGTCAATTTCTCTACAAAACTGTTTACTGCATATGGTTAACCACTGTTTTAGAATATGATTCCGTAGTTAATCCAAATCACTGAAGTAAATGCAATATCTCGACATAATTTTCAACTTTATTAGATTTGATATATCATAGGTAGCTTAGATTATAATGTTTGAAATGGCGGCATATAATAAATGTAATTAGTTGTCAGTTAGTACCTAGCCTTTTAACATGGTAATTATAGTAAATTGATATGAAGATAGAATTGTCTGTGTAATTTCACATCGGAGCAGTTGATATCCTATCAATGCTGTGTAATGATGACTTTAATTTCATTACTTTCAATTCTGATTTATCTTCTAATTTCTAAATTCATTAGTGCAATTGCATTAGTATTATATATAGCACCGTTTATGTTTATGTCTCACTAGCATGCTCATCTGCTAATATTCTGTTTAGAATCGTTTAGCAATCAAGTTTTAAGATCGGATAATTTTTCATTTTAATTCAAAAATACGAAGGCTAGTTTGCTATGTTACACGGCCTTGAGGTTTAGTTCTGTTAAATAAGCAGTTCTATGAATCCATTAGTCCAAATGGCGTGTTGCCATGCAAATTGCATTATAGCTATTACTGCGTAACAGCGTACACCGAAATTTTTTAATTAAGTAAATCATCTAATTTCCATTTAATTATTTAGTGGGTCTAAGGCAATGTCCATGTCGTCTGATAATTGTAATGAAGACTTTTCGGTTACGGCAAAACTGCCCCATAGGCGACGAGAACTACGTAAGTTTCACATTACGCGCAATGTATGTATCTATAACTTACTGCCACTTATTCTTCCTTGAATGGTTACTTGGTAAAGTTTTCGGGATACATTTATCTGAGACATCAACAGAGCTGTTTAGAGTTACTCTATATTTTATGTTGACATACCTTATAGCTATGCTCATTAGAGCCTAAATATTATTTTTGCATTAAATTTCTTGCTCTGTAACATGAATCTTTAAAGAAATCGGCTATACTAAATGAATCAATTTTTAAACCCTAGGCACTTAACATTTGCAGACGTCTTTTTGAATAGAATCTGTTATAGTTATATAATTCATTTTTCTTACATTTTCTAGGTGGTAAAGAACTACTGGCCGACAAAGGTATTAATTTGATGGCCAATTCGTTTACTGGATTATAATGGAATAATTTGGGATAGCGAGACAAATTAATAGCTTATTGTAGTAAAGTTGCGCTCATAGATATAAATTACCGAATGATACGTTACCATATCTCTCTACAAGTACATTTATTAAAGCGAAATTATTTCTGTGTTAATGCTAGCATAAGCTAAATAATTATTGAATCTCTCAGCTGTAAATTATTGCTCTGTTATATCCTGGATAATCATTCATTAGATTCTAGGCCGCACGGATCTTCCAAGATTGGTACAGCTTACTGACTATCAGATGACATCATATTTATTTCTATATAAATTTAAGGCATTTTAAAGATTTAGAAGTAGCTTTTATTTTCCTTTATTTGAAACTACCACATCTACCTATTGAATTTAGAAGCTGAAAAGTATTTACCCAAGTTTGCTAGCCTATCTTCGAAAATGCTTAAATCCAGTAAGAGACTAGGCTTTTGTTGATTTTATTCATTGTTTGATTGTCGAGCCAATGCTAACAATTATTCGTGTTATTTTGTATAATTTTTACCGCCAGTAGAAGATTCAAAGCCAACTGAAGGTAGTTACTACAAAATGTATTGATTAAACAATGCGCGAAAAGTATTTTTGTTTTAATCTAGTTTAATAGCAAGAGTTTTTTGGACTTTAAATCCGAAAAGCTCTGACAGAACTTTCTCTTGGAAATTTCTTGCTGAGGATTTCTACTATTACAATTTAGTTTCCATAGCAGTATTATTCTGTATTTGTAAAGTAACTTTAGTTATTGGATTTTTAAATAAAAAATTTCACTGAAAGCTTTGCAATTCAATTAGTAAATAGACACATTCTTATAAAACTTAAGATAGACTTGATATAGTAAAGGACAATCAATTCTTTACTAATTTTTCATTTAATAGATTCTAAGAAGCGAAGACGTCGTAAAGTAATGGATCAGTCATCAGGTATTCTGTTATTGACAATTGCTGTAATGCGATGCTCATAGAATAGGTATATGTGCAGGGTAATTCGGAATTTTTGCTAGTAAATTCGTGAAACATTTTACTAGAGTTATTGATCAATACTTTCTTTTGGATTTCAAATAGCAGCAAGTCTTACTATGCCACTTATAACTTTCGTTTATATAGCAGTGCTAGTCTCAGTATCATATTGTTATAATTAACAATAGTAATATGGTGGATAATTATTTTGAGTAAAATGATTGCATGATAGATATAAGCATTATAAGTGTTGCGATATTCCATTCTGCCATCGGCTTGATAGATTCTGTAGCATCTAAAAGTCTTTTTGGAGGCACTGAGTCTGCTGGTTACTGTTTCGGTGCCGATACTCTCAACGAAGGTAATTAAAACCGAATTAGGAAAGTATAACTTTATCATTTCTGTAATTTAATTTAATAACACTATTTCTAGAGCTAATAGAGTATGAATTCTATTAAGCGCTAAAATAGTGAACTCCCACCAACTACAACAGATTTTTATTACTTCATGGACTCTCTGTGCGGTCGATATGATGTCAGTCATATACGGCAATTGCGATTTGACATTTTACAATTGGATTAATAGATTCTACGATATTTAAAGGTCTTCTGAGAAGTGCTCAGCCTTCTGGCTTAAGCTTTGGAGGACGTGCTGCCGGATCAGGTAATTGTAGCCGAATTAAATGCTACATAGTTGTAATGCCGATGAGATAAAGAAATAGCCCTTTAGTTGCATCGATTTTTTAATGAATTTTTTTTCCCTTTGACACCTATCAGATCGATAGCTGATTTATGATGTTCGATGCAACATAATAATTGTGATCTTCATTTCATAATTAAATTGTTACGTTTTACAGCATATGAAAGTCTTCCTGAAAGAACTGAGTCATTTGGTTTTAGTTCTGGTTCGGGTATTTTCATCAAAGGTATTTATATCTGAACTTGAAAACGTTAAATGTGTTGCTTTCAGTTTGTTGTGACGGTATCATTTCTGTGATTAATTAATTTCCGGTGTCACTAAATCGTGAAGACATTACTACACATGACATATAGTAATCACATACTAATCACAACAGTTTTGTATGGCGAATATTATTTTACGCCTTTGATGGCTATCATTTTATGTATTCCTCATTCTACGTAGTTCAGAATTCTATTCTTGTTAGAATTGTATATCGTAGCTAAAAATTAAAAGCTAGTACACTAAATTTGGCGATATACCAAAAGTACCAATTTGCAGACTTATTTTATAAATAGCGATTCATTTAGCTCAGCAAATTATTCTATTTTATATCCCCAAATTTCCTTACTTTGATGGCTTTGATAGTGATATCGTAAAGCATTACTCTTGAAGGTTACTGAATAATTTTATGACTGCATTTCCAATTTGTAGCAACCAATCTCGCTAAACCATTAACAGCTTCCGATGATAGCGGTATCAATATTATTATTACTGTACTAGAAATAGGATTTACAGTAACTAAATGATAGATGAATCTACTTTGTGTATTGGTTTCCTTTTTGATGCATTAAAGCAATTAATCATATACATCGTAATTGGTATCATGCTGCAGGTCCCGCAGTGCCAAACATTCTTAAAAAACGTGGTTGGCGCCCCGACTTTGCTACTGGTGCTGCCAATTTAGGTAATAGCATCCAGGATTCGACGGCTTCAAATTCTTTGAAAATTTTTGTTGCTATAACACTATTCGCAAGATAAATTTACTATAAGTTCGATTTCTATAAGGTAGGATAAAATATAATACGTCGTATGTAAGGCCAATTTTACCTTTTAGTGATGCCAAGACAAATTCATTGCCAATTTCGTTTCACCTCTTTGATAGAAATCACTTTTTGTAGTTCGTATTCTAAGTACAGTACTTAGAATCTTGAATTGTATATACGATATTTAGTATACAATTGCAGGACAGTAAAGGCTACTTCCGTAAATTAGCTATGAACTTAAATCTATAGGATAGTTCTCTTAGTAACATATCATCGCTGTCATGAAATCATTCTCTGCTATGTATGTCCCTCAATATATCTTTACTTGCTTGTAAAGTATTGCAATCCCTTTTGAATTAGTCTGCCTAAATTTTTTTACTTAGGCATAATTTAAAACACTACACACGAACTAGCCGTAGTTGTGAACTTACGCTCTCTAATTGTACTAACTATAAGATAGTAATAGACATAGTACTACAAAGAGGGATTTAACAATCATAAATGTCACTTTTATGATTCCTTGCCTCCTTTGCGCCAACGGAGTAAAGTGTTTAGTTGCGTTCACTCGTTCGGATTGCAAAATTAGTTTCCAATAATAAACAATTTTTAGCCTAATGTTAGCGAAAACCGAAACTGTAATTAATGCAAAGTTTTTAAGCTATTATCTTGAAGTTATAAAATGCTTAATAGCTGCAGCACCATTGGAACACTCAGAGTATCCGCTTCTACCGCCGTCTCTACCATACAACAGATTGCTAACTTCTGACGATCAAGGCAAGTTAATTTATGTTACTATTTAAGAAATTGATCAACTATTAATTCAATTACGCTAGCAAGTTATGACCCATTTAGTGAATTAAATAAGATGTTTAAAAATTGATGCTATAAACGTATGACTTAGATGATAATTGTCATGCATGAGTATTTGGAAGAGGATTCACCTGCAGCACTCTCTATTTATACTTATAATGTATTTTCACGTCTCATTTATTATATCGAAGTGCAATATTAAACAGTATCTATATCTATATTCATATCGATGACAGATAGAAACCGATGTACTCAGCAATTCTCAAAATAAAGTATATTATATATGATATTGTAATTAATGATGCACCCAGTATTGTGTTACTAGTTATTTGAAATTAGTAGTGGCACGTGCAACTTACAAGTATTATAGCCTGAGGTATTAGTAAATGGCTATTAAAGTGAACCGTAGTTAAACTAGTCACTAACGTTGTTCGAATCATTTGCGTGATAATCAATTAGTGTCAATGAATTCATCAGTGCTCCCTTCCCATTAATAGTTATCATAAATAGATTTTCTAATATCAATAAATATTGTATCTATTTTCTCCTTGCTCATTGATCGTTTGTAATGAATGCTATTCGTAGTAGGTGTGAAGAAAAAGATGCTTTCTCCAAAGTCAATATCGATGTTTGCTAAGTCTCAGCAAAATAGTACCGCTTTTCCTGTAGAGAAAGAAGTACTTCGTGATAGTCGCCGCAGTGATGACGTAAATATCGGAAGTGAGCTTTATTCTGCATCAACCGTTTTTCTACCCCTTCCCCCCGCTACCGCAGCTTTGAATCGAACAAGAGGTCAAAAAAGCACAGCATTTAGGCGTAGTAGAGGTATGGTAGTTACTAAAATAAAATTTTGTATCATATATATGTACGTATTTACATTTAAAAGATTTAGAACATTCAATAATCGTGTTGTGTACGTTAACTGAACTTGCAGAATAAATATTATAAATAAGAACGTATCTTTAAAAATTATTCATTTTCAATAAAGCATCAGTTGTAATAGAAGCTCAAATTTACAGGCATCAAATTAAAAGAAATAATTTTTTATATAGGAAGGAATTTGCAACTTGCTAGCATATTTTTATTAGTCAGAAGGAGCATTTAACGTTCTGATTTAATTGTTTTTTAGTTTTAGCGAAAGCGCTAATCGATGAAGTTGACGGTCAAGATAAACCTCCGACGGCGCTACATTTTGGTAGTATCGGTACGATCCCCTCTTTTAATTGTATCGTTTATCATAGATTAAAGTAAACCGTATTATGTTTGTATTACAGATCAAATGGATGAATTCAGCCCATCGCAAGGTTTACTTCAAAAATACTTGTGTCAATAATTTTACGCGTGTATCTGTAAGATTTTAAATTATTCTTTATTGTGAATTTACTATTGATCTTAAAATTTAGAAGCACACTTTGTGGGTGACTATTCACCTACATCACCATCAGGTATGAAGATAATATAGTTATTAATTAAATCTTAGTTGCTAGTTATACGCTGTTACAAAATTGGTATTGTTTTTGTTTATGTAAATCATTAAACTTTTGAAGCCGAAGGCAAGTGGACAATTGATTTACCAAAGTCACCGGAGCCCAATTACGAACAGGTTTCAGAACATAATCTAGAAGCTATGTGCAATATTAACAGTTTAGGTTGATGTAGGAGGTTTTTATTCAATTTTTTGCTTAAGAATAAATTATTACGGAGTGAAAACATAAAACAGTCAATTAGTTTATGTCCGTACTTAATAATTGGATCTAAGTCACTTATTGCCTATGTGTAATGTTTTAATCAATCGCTAAATCTATGTCATGATGAATCATTGGTTTAAATAATGAACTACAATCAGATCAAGAATCTACAGTCTAAGGTATGTACGTATGCTATGTTAAGGGTTATGGTGATAAGTTAGTCTATAGTTTTACGATCAAGGTAAATCGGCTGGCTACCGTCATTTTATAGGAAGGATATTGGGATTTAACGGATGAAATTGCTGATGTTATCAACACAACAAAGGATTATCTACGATCAGTTCTTCAGAGTTGTGGCATTCAATCATTTGGTATAGTACAACGAGTATCGCTAATGCTGGAGTATACTTTGTTGCATCTGTACTTATATTAATTCTTCTATCGCAATATTTATATGCCTATTAAAATTTGAGTATAGAACTCTGACACTCTATATGGTCGACTACTTCAATGATATAATCGTTGTTTTCGTTTATGTAATATCGATGTTTTATATGTGCATTGTATTATTAGGTCTAGCGGCATATAATGACATTGTTCGCATGGTTATAACCATGCTTATTATAGTCATGTTCAAGGACATATCTACGCTGACTGAAAGTGTCCATCGAGGTAAGAAATGGTTTACAGGCATGGACAAGAGATATCCATCGCTACTCTATCGAATGGAATTGGGTCAAAATTGGGAAAGTGCAAAATTGAAACTAATTGGTAAAGCTTAACATGCTCTAGCAACAGTACCGTCGTGTACAATGCATAATTCAAGTAGATCGTGTGACCAGAATACTACATCTTGTGTACTGTTTATCGCGGCCGATATCAGGTTTTTAACCGTTTAATCGATTCAAAATTTAAAAATTGCTATCGCTGCACATTTATCGAATAAGTATTTAATCGTTGTAATAGTCAATATGTCATACAAATATGCTGAGTAAAATATAACAGATACAATGTGTAGATGATTTACTATCGATCGACGTAAGCACCATTAATCGTATCAAGGAATTACTTGTAATAATGTGATTTAGTAATTATAACGACTGGTGTTCATTCTAGACTATTTTATTTTCTATTAACTCTCCTAAGGGTAAATGTTAACTTATGATTTGGAAACTGAAGTTGTGAATTTCATATTGTAATGAATACGTATGTAAAACTGATTTTCATTAGCTACTTAAACGATATATTTCAAGTTTATAAAATTTAAGTTATGGTTATAAATTAAAGAGACGAAAAGTAAGAATTTGACTCAAGCGTAACTCTTTATAATTAATTTTATTCAATGTAACAATGAAAATACTCATAAAGCTACTTATTTTTAGTTATTTATCACTAACTTGATAATCAATTCTTTGTGATACCGTGTTAAGATATTGTATTGTTACTTTATCTAATTTTTAAAATTTTACCTTGAGTTTTAATGAAGTTAGATAAGAACAAACCCTGTACGTTTATTCTATGATTAAAACTGGGAATATTGTACTAGATAAATATAGTCCTTGTAAATATCACTAACGAATGGCAGAGTGCTACATCTTATCCTGTAAACAATAAGGTTCGTTCTCTACCTTCTACTGTATATATACTGTGGAAAGATGTCGATTTGGAAGTATAACTGTTATACCGGCTGAATATACGCCCATCGCGGAGCACTCTCACGCCATTGACTTGATGAATTGGAAATAGATTGGTATCGAGTAATCGCCTTGTAATTGAAGAATTTAAGCCTATATTCATTTTGATCGTATTTTCTGCTGGAATAGGAATCTTTTCAAATTGCACCTTTACATAATAAATAACTTATTAGCTTACTTCTAAGAAGAAACAAAAAATACATCGATTAATGGCCGATCATCGTAGTACCTTCCCCAAATTAAAAATCAGAGGTAATAATATAATCGTCACCCGGAAGTGAAAAATCTTCTAATTAAAGCAGTGTATACCCTATATGGATGTAGGGGTACAATCATTAATTTACATTCTTATTTCAACTTTGAGATTTACAACGTTATCATTTTCTATCAAATCTTCTAATATTGGGTTCTCGAGTTTATGTTTCCGTGTAGAAATGACCCATGAATATTTTCATCATTTACGGCATTAAGTTAAAGCACTAGCTGAAGTAAGAATGGATCACTAGAAGAGATTACCTTATTTCCTCCAGTCTTCATCGGCTACTTGAATCTTTGATCATAACATATTGCAGTAACTTATAATTGCTCAATATCAGCGCTATATCTACGCGTCTTAAAATATAAACTATTTTTTTTTTATTGACAATCAACACTAGCATATTAAATTAAAATTATTGCGTGAAATCATCAACAATCACGCGCACCTTAGAAGAAGAAATTTATCTAGCAGTTGCGTCAGTAATTCTTTTAGGTGCTTTTTTATCTTTATTGTTCCTGATATAATTAAATGATTTTCCCCAGGTTAAAATTAGAATTAAAAAGAAATTGCTCACTGTTGTAAAGCCCAGTTTTAAAAATATTACAAGTGCTAACTATATCATTCTGTGTTTTTTAAACTGACTATGCTTGATTAAAGCTAACATCTGTTACTTTGTAGTCTAATTTTATTAGCTCCACCTCTTACTATATAATATAAAATAATTGTGTACGATTTTATTGCCACGGTCCTATGTCGTTCCAATCAAGTTGACATGAGTGTTTCTGATTGGCTGAAAAGGGATTACCGTCACTGTAAAAAAAGAGCTTTTCAGAATTTACCGCAAAAGCGAAGAGTGTACAGAAACTTTACTGTTCAATTACGGGAAAATGCCTTTTTAATCTGAATCATCTGTATGATATCCAAGCTACTAACAAGGCGAGTCTTGTTTTTTATTACAGATCATTATATAAACAGTACAATCCTTGCAATCTTATCTAGATAATTTTCATAACTACTACATTAAGAGTGATTATTATGGTAGGATATTAATGTTACAATACCACGGTGAATACCATTACCACATAATGAAAACCCAAAATATCGCAAATTAATCAATTAAATTAATCTATCATTACAGTCACAATTTTGTTTTGTACTGTGTTACACAATATCCAGTATACTGTACTGTAATATACCTTACATTCTTTATATATTATATATATAATAATTCCACCCTATCTTGTAACAATCTAGAACCTTAAGTTTGCCCAAATTTTTGGTTATTTATTAAAAGAATTGTGCTTTACTTCACAATAATTAGCAAAACATACTTGTACATATATTCGTACACTATAATAATCCTGCTTTTTTTAAAGTTTACGAATATTTTTTATCCTAAATTTTGCAAGGAAAAAATTTATATTGAAGTGTAAAAAATGTTAAAGAAAGTACACAGCAAATTATAATAAAAAAAATCGTCTATATAGTACGGAATAAAATAAATGTTTGTCTTTACAGCGAACACTATCTTAACTTCAGTTGTCTATAGATTGCATCGTAAGACAAACATACATTTTTAAATCTTGCACTACCTTATCTTTAGTTATCTATTAACTACATTATTAATTAATAACAGTTAGTAGGTAAACAGTTAATCGACCGAAGATCAATCGATATAGTACAGTTTAATTGAATACACTTATTATTGGATTTCTCAAAACACATGAAATGTTAAAGCAGGAATTCAGATGAAACTAACAACTACGTTCGGTCGAATATTTTATACATTTTAAACAAACGCATGTCATCTTTACGCTAACACTACTATACGTTTAGCCATTTGTAGACCATATTATAAAACAACCGTCAGTCTTGACGACTAAGACTATTTTCCATTCAGTCGTTCATAAGTCGTCTGTAAACTTCATTAGAAATAAATGGATATCTTTACGGCTAACACTACCTAATCTTCAGTCGCTTATAGACGGCATTATAAAATGAATGCATATCTTTAACGCTAACACTACTTTTAGTACCTGTTATGGAGCCAAGCTCCAAAATAATAAAGGCCTTGTTAATTAAAATATATAATATAAATTGTTGTTTATACCCCACTGGTCTAATAAGCGTTAATGAATACATGTTTATTGATAAGGTTAATGTCTAAGTAATTAAATACTAATACCTAAGTGTAAGGCGTAATTTATACTGAGCCTCAAGGCTCTAATTGGCACAAATAAATTTATTATTCTTAATTAGCGTTAACTTATACTGATTTATGTTAACTTCTTCTATCTAAATTCCTACACTAAACAGCGTAACTAGTTATGTCTAAGATACTAACATATGCACCATCGGCGGAGGCCGAGACTATATAAATTCGAGCACTAAATTAGCTGTTCAGTTCCTTTTAAAGCATTTTTAGATTCACTTAATCATTTTTGCTAGGAGTTTTCTTAGGATATATCTCAATAAAGTAAATTCCTGAAACCTATTACCCGTTGGTAGCTTATCTGTGTAGTCGAGAGTTAGTTCAACTACGATAAATCGCCTAAGTCAGTTGGGGACACGAGTAGTCGTGACAACAGCGTTTAAGACCTCTTCGAAAAGGTAATTCGTAACAGTGCCATACCTTTACATCCTGTTACGAATTATAAAATACGAAATAATTGACAAGTAAAGTATGAAAAATGGCTAGATAATAAATCAACTGATAATTAACATTATACAAGAACCAAAAAATCTCTTCCTGAGCTGAATTTCGGACATTAGCCACAATTTTATCATAAAAATAAAGCTACGGGTAGGGCAACAAAATCTGTATTGCTCGCTTTATACAACATGTAAATCACACTAAGAATAATTGCATATTTTATAACTGCTCTCTGGTGATTTGATTAGTCAAAAAAGTTCTTTATATCTATAGCGGAACTTCAAAATCGAGGACGAACAACAACACTCGACGGCGCTCTATTAGCACGATACTTAAATTGTTTACAACATACAGATTATAAAATAAGATGAAGTAAACTTGCAAAACTAAGTAAGCCTTTTCAAATCTAAGAATCTTCTTCTACTCACTATGTTAACAATAGTATATTTTTGAAACAGCTTCACTACTGTTAGTCAATTGCATAAAAATGATCAAATTTATAGCAATAAGATAAATATTCGGATATTCATATTCTGATCGTTGTTAGTATCAACACGATTGGTAATTTGTTACCTATTTTGGGTTTGCAACAATGGGACTTTTGGCGAAAATATTTCCAATGCGTTAATAATTTAATAATCAATCGAGATGGAACAATGGAATATTAATATATATTAGAAATTTCTTGTTTTATTCATTATAAGTAATTTCAATAATGATCTATAATTGGAGGGAGATCAGTCATTTCTTCCTATAACCGACTTGATAGATCGTATTGTCTTACAATCAATGAATTGGTTGTCAATCACGATCAGTAATGAACAAACTTTTATGATTGAAGTGTAGTTCCCACATGATACAACAATTCGCAGAACTTTCAGACGTATTGTTTTGATTCCATATTTAAGTAAACGTATGAAATCATGTCAAGTATCTGATCCTACGGGAGCGGTATGTAATATCTTTCAAATACAAAAATACACGATTCGAAAATTATTAATTCATTAAATCGCTTAAGGCTATAACTTAAGGCATATCATGATAGTCTGTTCATATCAGCTGGACTGTTGGTGCGTTGACGCTGTAACGTTTAGTAAATGCAAGCATCCGTTTCCGTGTACCATCCTTTTATTTGGCAAATAGTCATCAGTAAAGCAGTAATTAAAAAAATTACAGATAAAATAGACTCTACAGTTCAAGGTAGAAATATTGGAATTAATTGACAAGAAGAGCTTGCAGAATTAGCAATCCATCGACAAAACTTTTGAAATTGATTCCTCTTTCTTGATTTATTTACCACTAACATCGATATTGCGGTATTCATTTATGAAAAATTTAAACATTTTAATAGCAAAAGAGCATAACCCTACCAGAAAAGATCAAAATAGCCAAGCAATCGTGTGAAAAACTTAAAATTGATTGTATTTTACGATTAATATTGATGATTGATACTGATATTGATAATTCATTAACTGATATTAGACATTGATATTAATTGGCAAGAAGAGCTTGCAAAGTTAGCTATCCATCGCTGCTGGGACTTTCGAAATTGATTCCTCTTCCCAGATTCCAGCTGTAACTAATATTGATCTTGTGTAAGGTATTCATTTCGTAAATTTGGACACTTTATTACCAAAAGAATATAACCTTACAGGAAAAGAGCGAATATAATCAAACTATCGTATCAAAAACTTGAAATTTGTTCTATTTGGCGGATAAATATAGACGACTGATACTGATTTTGAGAACCCACTCAGAGCACAAAGAATTTGATATATAAAATGAACGCTAGCTTTAATGACTTTATTAACAAGACCCAATCATTTTATAGTAATATTTGGAGCGATATAATTAGACGCACTGAAATCATGCAGCCGGCTTTGACTGTGATGGCCTGCTTATATATTATGATCATGGTTATAGCTATACCTGGTAATTCATTAATCTTATGGATTACTTTGGCCAATAGGCACCTGAGGACACCGACAAACTTGATGGTTTGTAATTTAGCCGTAGCAGGATTGTTGTTAGCAAGCATACAGATACCATTTAAAATTTTTGATCTTTTAAGCCCAATTCAGTCAAGATATTACTATCCGTTTAGCGTTTCTGTATGCAAGATGACTCTAATGATACCTGGAGTATGTGTTACAGCAATATCGTTTACCTTAATGGCTATTTGCGTCGATCGATATCGTGCGATTGTAACTCCGATCAAATTTAAGTTGATAACCCATCCAGTTAAGGTCGCCATTTTTTTGCCATTATGTTGGTTATTTGCTTTCTCGCTTTTGGCGCCTTATGGTGCTTTTGCAACCATTCACCCATGGTTTGAACAACGCCAAGTTTGTGTTGTAAATTGGATGACTAACCACCATTTGGATATCATCTTCGTTAAAAATAGAATAGTGTACTTTATACCTTTCTCCAAGATGATCCTCTGGCTATTATTTATTATTCTAGTCTTTCTTGTGCCAACAATCATTATGACAATGTTATACAGCATTGCCGCTCGAGTGTTGTGGCGTGAAGGGCTAGAAAAGATGCGAATGATGACTTCGATGAGTCTAGAATCCAGTTCGATTAGCCGTGAACGATGTGCTAGCTTAAGTTTGGATGAGCATCGATTAAAAGCTCGAAAACGAACTATTAAAATTTTGATAGCCTGCTTTATCTTGTTTATTGCCAGCAATTTACCGTATTATACTTTGCTCACGTTGTTTGAATTTAAATTAATTCAACTTCCAAATTATTTCGTACGTTATGGTCTGATCAATGCATTTGTGCTCTTAAATTATACTTGCATTGCTTATAATGCCATTATTTATGGCTACTTTAATTATAACTTTCGGCGTAATGCTCCTCGATGGTTTCATTTGAAGAATTATTGTTCACAGTGCAGATGAATTAATGCACAAGAGCCGTGATAGGGATTCTATATTGTGGTAGAATGTCAACAATTTGCGGTTGATCAAAAACTACAGATAACTGAAAGTATCTAATGCAACTATATTAGATGACTAAAATAAGTAAGAGCTTTTAAATTGGCAGTAATTTGAATTTCCTTACTCTTTATTGATCTTATGTTTTGGTATTGAAATTGAAATAGAAAGCTAAATCTTATTATACGATTTCAATGATACTACTCTTTCGAACACCACCGTAACTGTATTATTTAACTAATTGATATCTTTAATTTGGAGATGGTATGTTGATTCAAATAATTGCGACTTAGTAGTTCGTCGATGATGATGACGAAGTGAAAATAACTTCGAAAATTAACGTAAGAAAGCGTAATTTGGGAATATTGAATTTAGTCAATTGCTTACAGTTAATCAGTGTTGTATAACGAATGTTAATGACAATACAAAATGTTTTCAGCTCAGTAAAATAAATTCTCTAGACCTATCTGGAAAATGTCGCTAATTCTACGTGTTTTAATTAAGAGTAGTTTTTGCTTGGTTGGTAAAGTAAAGTTAGCATTTTATATTCAAAAGAGCAAGAGAAAATCTATGATCATTTGAATAAGTAAGAAATCTGCATACGGTATTAATTCTTAATGTTTAAACTATCGGAAAGATGAAATTATCTAGTAGGAATAAAAATATCTAATCATTGTATGGAATTCAAAGGAATCTCATTCTTGCATGATAAATTAATGAATTGCTGATAGAATTTCCAAAACTTTTTGGTGCATGGCTTTTGAATAATGAAGCGATAATTACTTCTTACACGACTTGATCGGTTGTGAGATTCTAGCCAATCTTTCATGGTCGATGGTAGAATGGTTTCGAAAATGTGACAAACAAATTTTAAATATAACAGATAATTAACTGATTTTGTACTAGGAGTTTATCGACTAAGATACATTTACTCTTGCATTTAAAACTGATTCATAATTTAGTTATGAGTGCACTGATAGAATAATCTATGCCGTCTATGCCACTAAACCGTTAACAGACTAAATAGTCTGTAGAGCAACAATATTGATTTTAGTTTTTGAAGTAGTTTAAATTTTCTAGTTATAAATTTCCATTTGTAATAACAGTATTAAACGATAGCTTAGAGAGATTGGAGATATTAATTAATTAACATTTAATGTAACTTACCAGTAAACTATGCTTAAGAATACTGTTTCTTGTTTTAGTTATTGCTAACGTTAATACTAAATTTTGGCTACTTAAAAACTAATGAAGTAAATTGTAGATGGTGAAGATTTTCATTTATTATAGCAATAGAAAGAAAATACTGAACGCCAGTTAATAATGTAAATAAGTAAGAAAGCACAAATAAAATAAATAGGGTTGAATCAAATTGTCATATAGCATTAATAATCGTTATTAGTGCAAATGATTATACGCGTATTTCAATTTAATTTCTTAATTTAATAATTGTATTTAGATCCTTCTTCAATCATGTTAGCAGGTTTTGCTATATTTGTGCAAATACCTCGAGTGCATTACCAAGTAGGTAATTAATACCGGTATGTAGTAAAGGAATATTAATTTTGACTGACTGTAGGAATTTCTATGTTTTATGAGCTAACTCTTAACAATTTCAAAAGTAGACTTAAATTTGAGATTACTCGCTTGCTTACGGTATGTCGGCGATTTGATCATTCAAATTATTTTAATTGATGTACTGCATAAGTTGCTGTCACAAAACAGCTTTGCAACAAGATAACGCAATGTACGATCAATAAGTCAATTCCTTGAACCACGTATCAAGGAACCATATCTGCACCATCACAAACACTTTTGCTCTACTAGCAGACTACATAAAGACTTAAACGCCTCGTATTTTACGTTAAACACTAAGTTTGAGAATTCTCTTTATTCCAATATATACTGCATTTATATACTATTCCTCAATAGTTCATGAGTCATAGTTAATACAATTAACCTCGGAATCATTTACTGAATTAGATATTAATTTTAGCTACTGCTCCCTTAATGCAGACAACAGTATTTACGAACATAGACATGTAATGACTAATACAGAATAGTCAGATTACGATATGTCCTATCACGGAACATTTCCATGATAATTTACAATCTGCCATAAGTAAATTACAATCACAATGATTCGATCTGTAAGTAGATGATTTGCATTCCCTATTATAACTATTAATTTCAGTATGTGTATAAGTGTCACTGTGATAAAAAGTCAGTGCTATATTAAAACACAGTATATCCAAATCAGAAGTTAACTAAATAAGGATAGTCTAATAGAATTATCCTAACATAGATATTTCTACTGTAATACAGTATTTAACACTATAACAGTTGCCAATTAAGATCAGGTGCGAACAGCTTTGTAATTAACTTGTGAAATACAACGATAGACAACGCTGAGATTATGCATTGAATAGGCTATATTGTGATAAACTATTTTTCTCAAAAATAGTAAATGAATTATAGTTTACTGTTATGATATATACAAATCACGAGATTCCAAATTTTAGAAAAATAAGGGCTTTATTGAATCTTTACAAAGATTAACTACACACAGCTCTACTTTAGCCGAATACTACTACTAACGACTTCTAGAACGAACTAACAGAATAATCTGAAGTAGCATGCTTTTATACTTTTCGTAGCATTCGTAGCTACAATCTGTATGGCAACCTTTTACCTTATATTACACATAGTTAAATTATTCTTAGTAAGACTATTCTACTGCGGACCATCATTAATCCAATATGGATACGACTACAGTACTTACGTAGACATTATTTACACCAGCCAAAGTACAATGAATTAACCATATCCTAATATATGATTTACAGTTCTATTTTTACCTAAAGCCTAATTAGTAACTCAACACCTCACCGTATATAGTCATGTGTACTCTAGCATAGAGTCTATACCACTACAGTCTATAGTTATAGCTACCAAATATCTGTTAGGATAAATATCTACCGTATATTAAACTTGGCTAACAGTCTACAATCACAATACTAGTTACATTACAACTGTAAACTTGGATTCACAACCTATATCTGGTTTATCTTACACTTATTCATATTGTGGCTTCTAATTGAATTATCACAATGTGAATTTTATACTGCTAACGCAAGCTATATATAGTATATAACATTAAATAAAAATTTTTATGTTTTATTAACGATAAACAACTTGAATAATAGACCTCCATGTAAAATCCATCGTTTATTTGCGTTACCTTTCTATTAAATCTCATTGGTTTAATTGATAAATACGTTGTCAATCACGATAAGGTATGAGCAGCTGGTTTAAATTAACTCCCAAAATATGAATATATGTAATTCAGAGATTATAACTCTATAAATGATTTGAAGCTATAAAATAAAGCTAATCACAATTATCTTTTCATATCTGTTTGGCCACGATACATTGTAATTAAAAGTAGAATCATACGTTTTCGTACAGTGATTATTTTATTATACAGAAACATATTAAGATAAAGAAGACTCTGTTTTGAAAATTTCGATAGACTGACTCTACGTTTCATAGCAGAGACATTGGTATAAACTGACAAGAAGAGCTTACAAAATTAGCAACCCATCACGGAAAATTATTGCAATTTATTTCGATTTCTGGACTACTTTTGCGACTTATAATTATATCAATATTGTGAACGGCATCCAGTAGCAAATTTAGATATTTTGTTATCAATAAAGTATCGTACCATCTTATCAGAAAAGTGCTAAGGCCAAAATTAACTAATCGTCTTAAAAGCTTGAAATTTATAAAACTTTATGATCAAGACTCATCGTTAATACCGATATTGAATATCCATTTAGAACACGAAGACTCTATAATATTGAAATTATCTATCATTTAGACAAATATCACTAAGTAAATCATCAAAATGAATAACAGCATTAATGACTTCGTGAATAACTCTCAGGCAATCATAAATAATATATCCGGTTATATTGAAAGAATTGAAGTTATACGAACAGCTTTGACCATAATAGCCGTCATATACGTTACGCTAATACTTATAGGTATTCCTGGCAATTTATTAATTATATGGATTACTTTGGCTAACAAGCACTTGCGGATACCGATAAATTTATTGGTTTGTAACTTGGCCCTTGCTGGATTGCTAATAGCAAGCTTACGAATTCCAATTACAATTTTCGAACTTTTATTCCCCATTCAATTTGCTAATCACTATCCGTTTACTCTTTCAGTCTGCAGATTGTCTGAAATTGTGCCAGGTGCATGTGTCATAACAATATCTCTTACGTTAATGGCTATTTGTATCGATCGATATCATTCGATTGTACATCCAACAAAGTACAAACTGAGAATGAATCCAGTTAAGGCCATTATTTTTTTGATATTATGCTGGTTGTTCGCTTTCTCGTTTTGGATACCATATGCATTTTTTATTAGGATTGGTAGCTCTACGAGATATCGCTATTGCTACACAATTTGGCCTTCAAGTCCGTTATTGGATGTAAGAATTCCTAATTCCGCTTATGGAAATATCATAATACCATACTCAAAAATGATTTATTTGCCACTCTATTTCATTCTGATCTTTCTTATCCCAATTACCATTATGACGACATTATATATCATTACTGCTAAAAAATTGTGGCATACAAGGCCTGAACATATGTTAACAACAGCGCTTAATAGTACAAAACCCAATGCGACTACTAGTAAACGATCCGATAACATATCTCAGGATGGACATCGACTTCATGCTCGAAAACGGATCGTTAGAATTTTCATAGCTTGCTTTATCTTATTTATTTTCAGCAATCTGCCATATTACATGATCACAATCTTAATTCAATTTGGATTAATTCCAGTTTGGAGTGGTAACAGTGAATTTGTACTGTATAGAGTTTTTATTCTCTTGAATTACTCCTGTGTTGCTTATAATGCCATTATTTATGGCTACTTTAATTACAACTTTAGACGTAAAGCTCCCCGATGGTTACAGTATAAATGTCCGCAATGTAGATCAGCAAGGCTATCAGCAAAGTAGAATAATGCCAACAATTTAGTGTTCATGAATTGTTTTCGCAAATAAAATCACAGCAGAAGCGATAATTACAGGATGAAATACATCAATACCTATTTTTAATTCATAGTAGCTTAAAGTGAGGAGCTGCTTTTTCCATGCTTCACTATTTTAAGCTATTTCAACTTTGCCACTTCTTTCACGAACTGCTATTTATCGGTATTGTTTAATTAATTTATGAATTCCTCCAATTTTGTCTTAGTAGGTTATGTTAAAGAAAAGGCAATGTGATTATCACGATTATGTGAAATTAAAGCTAACAATATGAATCAGCAGTTGCAATTTGCGGACATTAAATTGCGTAGAACGCTTGAAGTTAATTTATTTTGGACAGCTCATGTATAGTTCAATGTAAAAATGATCTCAACTCAATTCAAGCAACTAGACCAAGCCTTTCAAGAAAATACAGTCCTTTTTGCTTTCTTAATTGAAATCTCCATTTAAAGGCATTAATAAGTTAATGACTGCTAATGATGAACATGAGTCAGCTCATATCTAAAGTAAACTTGAAACTTGCTTATCATGTAATTCCTAATTTCGTAATTCCAATAAATAGGAATTATCTATAATAGCATAATAAGAATATCCAAGTATTGTATGTAAATGAAAAACCTAATTCTTGCAATATAGATTGCTTAAGTTCTGATAGAATTTAAAAAAGTATTTGCTGCATAGTTTAGAATAGCACAGTGATAGGTACCGTAAAATACTTTATTGGCAACAGTGAGAATCTAATGTATGCTACCCTGGGCTTGACCTGAGATACAAGCTCCAATTGGCATTTCTTAATGATACTTCTGGCACAAGTACAAATAACAGATACATTACAAAATCATATGCTATCACGACTAAAACTGAAAATAAATTATGTGTCGGCAATACGCCAGTAATATTTCGATACAGATGAGACAAGTGAATTAACTTATTCGATAATATTGCTATTTAGCAGCAAGGGCTTCGCTGAAAATAAGCTGTGTGTCCGTAATACTCAAACAATATCGTCGATACAAAATAAATATAAGCTACTTAAAGATAATTTACATATCAATCGGTATTGCTGTTTTGTGTCTCAGATTTAATTGAAATCAAACTATGAATCATTAATGAACGAACGATATTGTCTAGGCAAATGAGACAAGTAAATCAACCTACTTGGGTAATATTGCTATTGGCATCACGAATTGCATAGAAAATGCGTAAACTATGTGCTGATAATGCTGTAACTTAGATACAAATAAGACAATTGGTTGACATTTTCGGCAATATTTTAAGTATTAAGCATTTTACCTCTAGAAATGAAGTGGTAATAAACGGTGCAGTAATGCTTTAGTAAAATCGAGAAAAATATTCAAGTTAAGCAGCAAACATAACAAGGTTGGTATTGAAAAATTATCTCGTAGATCGTTAATTTCTGCAAGTTTTCAATTTAAATAGTATTTTATGCTAGAATGGCAAGCTTTTCAAATGATACGCTATGAAGAATTTTACAACGACACATTTTATGAGCCTTCTTCAACCTGTTGAGGTACGAGTAATAGTATAGCTAGCAAGGATAGCTGGAAAAAGATTACTTACAACAATATCTGCTCTTAGAAATTAGGAACTTAGAACAATACTCTAAAGAAAAAGCGAAACTGCTAAAATATGAAATTAACGTTGTGTATATCAGATTGTGAACAACATCAATTAAACTTTCAGAACTTAATTTGCACCGGAGATTCTATGATTATACTTGTACACTAGCCTATCTAAACAGCTTTACTACAGGCAGTCAACTGCATAGCAGTTATCAAATTCATAGTTTTCGGATAAATTGTATTATGCGAAACTCGTATTCTGATATTAAAACGAATTGTATCCATATGAAGTTTGTGGTTGAGGCGATATATTACATTAACATATTGATAAATTAAATTGTATTTCAAATTTAACATCTGGCATTCTGTAGACTTCCATTCGACTTAGTTTACCTATTTGCCAATAAAGAGCTATCATATCCTCCTATCTTTCGTGCATCTGTGATAATATTTATTAGGTTAAACAGGAACTATTAAGACTAAAGATATAGATTTGACAAACAAGAAGCTAAATATGATATTTGCACCGATGTTGCTATTGATGAAGATGAGCATTGAAAAAAATACTACAGTAATTGAGCGTTGTGCTGTGATATTTAAATGGACAGATGACAACAAAATGTATACTATACTGCTTGTATAGATAACACAGCTGTTATGGAGTTTGTTACGATTATTTACGGTTAGGTACGATATTATGTAACGTAATTGTCCATTAACGGTCATGGCTTTAATTAATCCGAACACAAACTAGTCCAGTAGTATAGTACATATACGCATTGAATATGTATGGTAACAGTTTATATAGACGCATTACTTAAGGCGTTACCATCATAGCTATCTTAATTATGGAAATATTCAGGATCGTCAGTAAATGACATTTAACGATACTAAATATTTGCCTAGATAAAATACCGGCTTTCTTGTAAATAATTTATAATTTCTTACTTGGTAATCCCTGATCTTTAATATCTTAAGAGATCTCAATTTAAATGAAGTAATTTAAAGGGATTTTCATTGATTCTAGAGCACGGCAGGTTATACTGAATAACTTAGTTAAATAAGATGACCAGGAGAAAATAACCTTAGCAGTTAGAATCAGGAAGTGTAATTTGGACATAGTTAACCTAGACGATTACTTAGAGTTAATTGATATTGGGCAGCGAAAACTAACTACAATATAAAAATTTGTTTCTTAGCTCAATTAAATAGACTATACTACAAATTTAAAGAAAATATTACACTTTATCGGTATTTATTTAATTCAAAGCCCAATCATAATATTTGAAACAGTACAATTAGCAAATTTGTTTGAAAGGTCGAAAAAAATCAACTTTCATCTAAAAATAACCGGAAATCCATATACGGTTGTTATACTTCTCTTACTCTCTGAGACATAGACTCCTTACAAACCCCAGCTTTTACTCCAGCAACACAATACGCAAATCTTAGAACTTTAAAATCGCCTTTTATTCACGTAGCCTTTGTAATGAAATGAAATGTGTAGGAATCAAGCTACAAAACTTTTAACTAACTTCTGATCCTACTTTCTTTGCACTCTGGTCGACTTAATAACACTTTGACACCTAATAAAATTGGGTAAACAACGGATCAACAATTTATTAAGAAAATGAGTGATAGACTAATCAAACAACCTTCCAAATGCTTAATTCTAGGTATTATCAATAACGAAATAAAAAAGCGACAGAACTGATACTGTCAGCAACCAAACAACCTAACAAATAGAAGAACGCTTTAACTTATATCAGTTCGACCCAGAAGGTCTTTAAAATTTAACTAGTTCTTCAAATAATCATCTTTTACTCTCTACCTTAAATTTTCTGATTGCACTATTATTTATAGGCTTCACAGAGCCCCTGGTGGAATTTAAAACTAAACATTTACTAATCAATCATTCTGACGATCCATTTTAGATAACTACTTTGCACCGCTTAAGAAAACAAAAATTATTGAGACACAGTCTGCTCTACGATTCCTTACAAAACACTATAAAACCAAACAAACTATCTATGAAATACTCTAAAATTCATCAAGCTTCACTTTCAACATAATTTGTAATCATTATTTCGGACTTTACTTAATAATTCCAATTAGCAGATTACAATATTACAATTATAACTATAATTACAATTTCAATTAGTATTATTATTACTAGAATCATATTATAGTAAATTTTGTCAATCAATTCGGCTTACTATTGACAAACATGTAACTTATATCATATCTATCTTGTCCAATACTTGTAACTGATTTAATAACTGGTCTATGATTTACAGGCGCTAAACAAGTAATCATCTAATTTGATGGCATAGAGGTTGTTATAGGACCAATACTACTGCCCGTTACAATTCTAAATTTGTAACGGAAAAATTTCATTTTAAACCTAGAATCTAAATACTACCCATATTACAATTCCAAATAATGGCGATCATCCATCGCCAGGAGGAACAGCAATGTATTTATATAGGAAAGAATGTATAATGTCATAGATAAGACCATTCTCAATAAATATCAAAGGATGTTATCTCTAGCGGAAATAAGATATGCGTTACTTATCAAAAAATCGCTAAGCGACAGCTACTGTATATATTGTCAGATATTGCTAAATTTAGTTTCTTTTTATCTTCTTTTACAACCTAGATTTATGCCATTAGCTGGAGACATAGTTATGCCACACCTTAATGGTAAGGGAACATCTGTTTCTTCAGTAGTAATTAATTCTACACTTCGTAAAATTTTCACAAGGGCCAATTTAACCTCTAGCAGAGCCAATCTCTTTCCGATACAATTTCGTGGCCCGTTGCCAAATGGAAGAAATGCGCAAGCTGCGTGCTTGGATTTCTCCTCCGGCGTAAAGCGTTCAGGCATAAACTGCTCTGGATTAGGCCATAATTTAGGATTATGATGAATAGCATAGATAGGAATAGCAATCATAGCCTCTTTTGAGATCTGATGACCATCAATTGTAATATCATTTTTGCATTTTCGAGTAACTCTAAATGCGGGTGGATAGATTCTTAATGTTTCCAATATAACCATTTCTAGATAGGGTAAGTCCGATACACAATCATAATCTAAAGGATCAGTATCGTTAAGTTTTGTTTTAATTTCATGATATAATCGACGCTGTATTTCAGGGTTTGTTGCCAATAAGTAGGTGGCAAACGCTAATGTATTTGCTGTCGTTTCGTAACCTCCCACGAGAAAGACCAAAGCCTGAGCGATAATTTCTTTGTCGTCTAATTTATCGTTATCACCAGCTTCGATCATCTGTTGTAACATATCTCTACGGCATGAAACGCCTTCAGACATATTTTTCCTCCTTTCCTTAATTACATTTCTGCAAGTATCCGCTAAATAATTTAGCGAGTTCATAAACTGCCCACCAAATAGTGGCTCTAAAATACGAAATAACGGTGTTGCAAATAATAGCAGTATATGCAGTAAACCAGGTGAATTACTCGTTAGCTGACTAGCAGCACCAGTTAATCTCTTTTCTTGTTCTTTCGATTCAAATTCTATTCCAAAGGCAGAAGCAAGAATAACCTTCATTGTAAATTTGCCACAAATCCTCCATAACTCAATAGAACGGCCTTCTTTTTCTGCGTTTAATAACATTACAACAATTTCATTACTAGCCTTGTCAACACAGGGGAAAGTGAGCTTCAACTTTGATGTGCTAAATGTAGGTATTAAAATATTCCTTACACGCTTCCAGTCGGTATCTCTCAATTCTACTAACGTTTTATTAAACGGTTCTAAATTATTAGCGATACCGAAACGGTTAGTGAAATTGGAGAAGTCCTTGATTAAGACTGATTTCAATACTTCTGGGTCGCCAATCCAGATGGTAGGGACGGAAAAAAATAAAGTGCCATACACATGACCGTATTTTTCTTGTCTTTCTACTTGGACTAAGTGCTGCGAAGCCGATTTACCATCCAACAAGTTGCCAAAAAGGGGTTTAGGACGGGGACCACTTAATCCCAATTTTCTCAAATGACGATAAGGTTTAAGGTAGTACTTGTAAAAACACCAGGCCAGAATTGTACCTGATATTAATAAGATTTGCGATATTGATAACTGCAACCCAATCATGTTCACAGTTTTCCTGTACTGTATACTGAATTTCTAGTTAAAAAAAGTCATAAAATACTCCAGGAAGATATTAACACGTTATTACTTTTTCTCTGATGAAAGTAAATGTTACAGGATGCTATATAATATGAAGTTAATGCTTAAAGGCGATAATAATTCTTCAATCTTCTAGTCTATGCAGGTTTTAAGATTGATAAATTGATTTCAATTCTGGGAGATTTTGTAAACTTTATAAAGGCATTAATTTAATACAGGTATAAAAGCTTTAGTGTTTTTTTACGTCGATGAGTAAATATTCTAGGGGGTAGAATCTAGTTTTAGATTAAAACTTGAAGATGATCGACGAATTTTCCTTTGGCTAATTCAGCCAGATTTTCAGGCTTGATAAAACGATTTTAGTCTGAGAAAAGTTGTAAATATTTAAGGTAAGAATGGCGGAGAACGTGTATGATAGGGAATCTATTTTCCAATAGTGAATTTTATAGGCTTGTGCCGTTCCAATTACCAAGGCAGGAATTTAGCAAAGCTAATAGCTTACTTTAGAAGACTAAATAACGATTTTCTATGTAACGATTTACGTTTTTCAACATTAACTAAGCAATAAGCCAATGCACAGGATCAACTTTATCTCGCTACCAAGATTGCTAGTGCATACAGTTAAATGTACTGTATATCAGTTCTTTTACGCTGCTAAAAAGAGATCCAGAAGTGGACTGGAATAAAGAAACCTGTAGATAATATAACTGTACTATTGGAAGAATACAATTTGATCTACTTTAATACTGTGTCAATAATGGACTTAGCCTATATACTGGAATAACTACGATACTTCTTGCTCGTTTATTCGCGATTTGATAGCACATTTCTGCAGATTTTAGCTTATACGAGTATGGCTATGTGCTCGGCTGATAGAATATCCTTTACAGTCTTTTAGCTTATTCCATCTGTCCGAAGGAAAGGTAATTTTATGCAAAAGATGGTTGCTTTCTAAGTTCCTCGTATCAAAATATAGTGTAAATCATATATAGCACATTGCCATGTATGGGCCCTGTTGATGCTTCTATTTGTATACAAATACTGCAATGTCAATAAATTAAATCATTCGACATCGTATAACCTTACCTCCAACTAATATCTTGCATTTTACTATCAAAGGCCTGACTAATATAGCGATATCCTCCACTTAGTATCAATAGAAACTAGACGTTTAAACTTACCAGTATAGGTCAAAGATGTCGCTATTGGCTCTTACTTGGTATCAATTGCTGAAATTAAATAGGGTTCGAATTTCCCCCATTTAATGAATGATCCTACGATTGACGAGTATACGCGTATGTCTGCATGTTGATAGCTCTATGGCTACAAATTACTGCTATTCTATCTGTGATGGAGGGTTAATGATTTTACAGAGGCAGATCTATAACCAATTAGAAATTGATAACAAGGCATTGCGTAAGAAAATAGATTCTTTATCATAGACTACAACTGTGAGATAGTTACGCTAGAAAAGGGTGTAAACTGTTGTGAAATAATGTAAGAATAATGAATACTGTGACTAGTTTCGCTTATCCTCAATCTCTCCATAAATCTATAATCATCATATACCCAAGAAATTGACAACGCCTCATCATCACCACAAAGTCCAGCAATACAGGCTATGGTTTATAATAAGATGTAAAGCTACTGCAAGATTTCATCTACTATCTTGCAGACTGCAGAAGTAGAAATTAATTTCTATTTAATGAATTAAATCAATGGACAATATGGATGAATAAGTATCCTTGTTTACCGCAGTTGCAAGCTAGCTAGCTTTCATGTTGATCATGTCATAAGTAGTAGCAGTTGCTCGATGCCGAAAGTAAAGTAAATAAAATAAAGGATAGGATGTAAAATTACTGCTGTGAATGTAGAAGAAACTCTGTCTGTTGATAGTAAAAAAAATAACAGCAACGATGAATACGTAAGCTTAATAACTCTAGCTTGAAGTTAACTAGCAGTCATTCAAAGGTTAACTTGATCGGTAAATTTAGGTTATAAAATTAATGATAGGAAGTAGAGCTACTAGAGATTGCCGCCGCAGATCCTGTAGACTAAAGAAAATAAACTCATTTCTATGTAATAATTGAGCTAAATAGCTACATTCATTCTTGTTCGTTTTAATATGTACAGCATATAAATATGTAACAGTTTCTTGCTATGAACGTTTATAATGCTAAACTATGTCATAGAGTTTGCCCATCATAGGGCTTGGACTGCTAGATATGTCTAGTAGTCCATGCATAAGGTAACTGGATCAGTCAATGAGGGTTATAAAAATAATGATAGGAAACAGAACTAATAGATACTGCCATTAGAGATCACGCAAACTAAAGAAGATAAGTCTGTTTCTATAAAATAATTATTGAACTGAGTGAAGATATACATTCGTTCTTATTTGTTTAATACGAATATGTAACCTATTTATAGGATATCACGGTCTCCCTACATCAACCTATATAATGTTACTATTGAGTAGCATTTACCTATCAGAAGCTAACTTGATCAGTTAATGCGTAATCTAGTCAACAGTAACTTTAACTCGGTACCTTCCAGTATATATCTATATATATATATAGATATACATGCGCACACCCATTACACTTACGCCATCGACTTTATTAGCTGGGAATAAACCTGCCAGCGATGCTTTTGTTTAATCGAGAGAAATAGTCTAGTTATTCATTATTAGCAGCCATGTTATTATTGAGTAATCATTTTATAGATTATTAGTTTTCAGTTTTGGATCACTTATCTAGGATGGGAATTTTTTCAAATTATACCTTTGCCTTGCAACTGAGTTATAGCCTTCCTTTCAAGAAGAAACAAGAAATACGTCGATTAATTACCAATCATGATGGCACCATCTCCTATATCATCAATCGAAAAGTAAGAATGTGATTATCACCCGGAAGTGAAAGAAAGTGCTGTATGGAAGATCTTTTAATTTAGAGCCAAAATGAGCATACAATCACTGATTTATTTGTAACTCTAATTTTAAGAATTAGAAAGATATCATTTTCGATCAGATCGTTTATAATTTAGATTCTGTATTAACTGTTGTCCGTAGAATGCTAGCGACTCAAGAATAGTTTTATGTTTACGTTATCAACTTTAACTGCAAACGAATACAGAACATGTGCGAGGGATTTGAATAGTTCCTTAAATCTGTATTTGCTTTATGAATCCATTATATAATCATCGTGTGCTCTACGAATCGGTAATGGCTATATATTATCAGTATTAGGTCCATCAATAGGGGTATACACCCTGTATAAGTGTTGATAATTTGTAAAGCTGTTTCGTGAGACATTGTGAACTATCACGCAGAATGTAGAAATAGAAATTAATTCCTGTTTAACGAAACAAATGAACAACATGCATAAATAAGTTCCCCTTTTACTCTATTAGTAAGCTAACTAGCTCCAAGTTGATTATTTCATAAGTAGTATTAGTTACTCAAAATAGATACTCGAATTGTTCGATTAGTCAAGAAAATGAAGGATCAGATATAAAATTATTGCGTGATACTATTAATTATTTATCACTTAGAATGTAGAAGATACTTAGTATATTCACAGTAAGATATCCTTGTATTAACAACATGGATGAATGCTTTTGTTTGGATACTCTAACTGGATGTTAACTAGCAATCATTCGACGTAAACGTATATAATGTTAATAAGCTACTGATTTTGCCCATGATGGGGTAATTTGATCAATCCATCAATGTAGGCTATAATATTATTGATAGGAGTAGAAATACTGCATACTCTCACCAGAGATCAAGCAGACTAAAGAACGTAAACTCATTAATATGAAATAATTGAACTACGTGGATAAGTACGTTCATTCATTTCGTGTAATAAGTAATCTCCTGTAGGATAAAACGATCCCCGATAATAACATATACAATTTTAATATAAAATGGCATTTGCTAATTATGGAACAACTTGATCAGTCACTGTAGCCTAATAAATTAATGATAGGAAGCAGAACTACTGCATACTGCCACTAGAGATCATGCTGACTAAAGAAGATGAATACATTTCTGTGAAAGAATTAAATTAGATAGAGAAATAAATTCATTCTTTTTCGTTTATTATGTAACCTCCTATATAATAGTTTATAATGTTAGTATCAACTGGTAACTGCATTTGGCGGTCATAGGATAACTTGATGAGCCAAAGTAGGCTATAAAATTAATAATAGATGAATAAAACTATCGTATACTGCCAGCAGAGATCAAGCAGGTTACAAAAGATAAACTCATTTCTACAAAATAATTAAACAGCACGGACAAATGCATTCGTTCTTATTTTCTCATTATATCTTGGCTACTTTAATTTCCATCCTTTTGCACAGGCTCTATGTTTTATCTATATTCGGATGTCAACACAGAATTTCACTTATTAAATTACTTGTAGACGTAAAATCATGCTACTTATCCGTGAATCCTTCAAACTCTGATCGTATCGATTTATCCTCTTTAGACTCACTTTCTTGTGGTCGATCAGAATGAAGACTACCTCGATAGTTATAAAGGTAGAACAGCTGATAAACTGGCTATCCCCGTAGTATCAGTGGATNTTATACACGCTTGTAACGAGAAGCAAGCATTTCTCAATCATCAAGAATTTCTTGTATCCGTTAAATTGTCACCTGAATTATTCGCTCAAGGCAAAGTGGTGGGTAAGTTCAACTTTATCAATCAGTTTGAAACGGAAGAGTTTCCTGCTTAAATTTTCTCTTATAAATAACACGAATCACCATATTAAGACTCAGCTAATCGAAGACAAATAAAGACAGTGCTGTGACAGCCATGATAAATTATCGTAGCAGTCATATTGCAGCGTAATAGTCCTGTACTTATTTAGCCTGTATAGTATTTTATAGTACTTGTATATGCTATTAACAAAAATGCCTAGAAAAAGCTTGGCTATTGCATAATGAACTCTATCTTGATTTAGAAATAGCTATTCTCGAATTTGTGATACAGTAGGGTATCCTGCTTACTTTATAAGAATAGAGAGAGAGACTATAGTGAGTCAAGAGTGATAACAAGTGATGATTTAACCGAATATAACTCTGATTGCTTCATCATGCTTCTTTAACAAATTAGATTTGAAGGATAGGCAAAGCTTTTGGCTCTGACTTGTCCATATTTTATTTATGTAAACGTACAATGTCTCTAATGATTGCAAAATTTATCTATATTGCAGTACCAAAAGTTTCCTTTCAAGAAAAATCTAAATATTCAGCTTTTGATTTAAACAAGATACCGTAAGTTCCTATTACTATTTTCCTTTCTGTCTCTGCAAAGTTATTTGCTCATCAAAGCAAATAGTATTCATGAATGAAGTATTCAACTTCTTTTTATATTTGAGATCTTACGTTTCCATTTATTTTTGTTATAAATCTCAAAGTTCTCTGCTCATTGAAGCTAAGCTAAAAGTAAACAAGCGTTAAAACGCAAATTATATCTAAATAGTGAATGACTGATTTACAGTAGTTCTTAAATGTATTCAAGAGTCCAAATTTTCATCTTTTGTTTTATATTATTGACCTTCGAGCTGCATTTATTTGTTATATATCTCCAAAACTCATTTTATCATTTAAGCTAACCAATTACCTAGTAAACCAACCCACAAATAGATTTCATCTCCATAAAAAATGAATAATTAAATATAACTCTTGAATGCACTCTAAGACTCCTATTTGGTCATGCAATGCTCAGCTCAGTAATGGACTAAAGTATGCTTCGTAAAATTGGGTTTTCAAATACCTAGTTCAAGATAAAAGCATCCAGTAAATATAGTAGATATGCTGTATAATTCTTCTCCATTGACTTGGAATGTGGCTATAAGCTAAACGTTCATAAAGCCGGTCAAGTTTTCCCTGATTTTGCCTATCTTGTCAAAGTAGTAAAAGACATGCATTGGAACTCTGTAGAGCATTTTGAATTATAGAAATTATCACACAACCGTAATCATAAGTCCGTAGTAAATTATTGTAACTCAATCCAAATAAATCAAGTATCCAATTTGCAGTTCCGTGCGTGTGCAACACCATTGGTAAATTAATCGAACAAACCTTTCGCAGCCATCCTTTAGGTTTCATATTTTATTATTAATCTTATAGAGTTTGGACTGACAATGATCGCCATAATGATACCTTTCAAAGCCGGTATAAAGTTCTAAAACTAGTGCTATTAAAGGTAAGTTTAAGTGGAGTTACACTAGCCTTAACCTGTAAATTTACATTAATTTTGCATAATAATGGCCCTACTTTCAATGCTATTCAATTTTAGAATGATTCAGGCAGTAAGGAAAAGAAATTTGCTGGCATTGAATTGCAGCAAGGAGAAACTGAAAATTTATCCTTTCGTGTCTATGTGCATCGTAAGATTATTAAATACGAAAAGGAAGATGAAAACATCAATTTGAGAAATGCTCATTGTCAAGAAATCAAGGAATATCGATATTGTCCAAATCTTGATCAGGCAATTCAGTTATACTCCCATCTATATAATTTACACACCAAGTCACCGTATCATATGCAGAAATGCTGGACAAGACTTCCAATTTGTATTGGTTCAGAAAGAGCAAATGAGGTTTATTAATTATTATATACTATGAGCTTTCAATAATTTCAATAGTCCACCCGAATAAAATGTTAATTTGTCAAGTCTTGATTAAATAGAAATTAAGTTAAACTTCAAAGCACTGCAACGATTACTTGCTAGGCATAAGAAATAAAACTATTTCCTACCCAAACTTATAGCGTAATAAAAGCCACTACGTCTAAGATAGCGAAAAAAATACAGATGTAACCTTAGATTATGACAGATTTCAATCTTAAAGCTAAAAAAATCACAGTATCTGATAGAGGATAGCTTAACAATAGGAAAGGATAATAAGAAAAATGAAGCTTTAAAATTGCAGATTCCTGCAAATCATCTAATTCTTTTTCGAACTAGATCATCGTTGCTGCTATTGTCGATGCATTGTTGATTTTACCTTTCATTTAATCTGATGCTACTAGGTTTTAAACTATTTCCAATCTGAAACCACAGACACCATAGTATCTGAAGATGTTGCTTCGTTAACGCAATGTTTATGGGCAGAAGCCGTAGGAGAATTAGATGAAATATTATCATCATCCGTGGAAGAGATTACGAACGAAAATATTGCATCAGCGGAAGGGATTCTCCTCAAATTAAAGACCTGCCTATCCGAAAACCGCTATGATCAAATCAGCAACCTTAGTCAACAATTTTACTCCTTAATTCCACACAAAAATGATGATAGAACTATTGATTCATTCCGATTAATTAGTGATAAGCAAGATCTTTGTCAATTAATACGGGACATCATTAATGTTAGTGAATTAACCGATTGGAAGATGGATAGTAGTATAAATGCCAAGTATAAAGCATTAAAGTGTGATATTCAAAATTTGGAAGAAAACAGCCATGAATTTAAATCCATAAAGAATTATACTTTATCATCCTGGAAAGGGTAAGTTAAAGTTATCTTACTTTACAGTAAATAATGTTCATTACTTATTTGCTAGAAACGGAAATTCCAAAACACTAAATACTGATTTAAAAAGTCTATAAACTTTTACGATCACAGCGAGCCTACAACAATAAAAATTAATAGAATATTTAGCTTAAGTCGGCAGAGCGAAGAGAGATTATTTACTCTTGACATTGGAAATAAAAAATTACTCTTTCACGCTAGCCATGTAAGTCCAACTCTAATCTATTGCTAGTCAATGTTGAAACTGTTTTAGAAGATAGCGAAATTGACTTATTCTGGAATTCTATTCTATAATATAGGTTGCTAACTTTGTTGGGATCCTTTCCAGGTGATCTTAATTTCAATAAACCTCATAAATTGTTTAAAATCGGTTGCTTAGCTAATTTCCAAGTCGAGTTAATACGAATAGTCAGGAATAGGCAACGATATGACCATTAGTGCTACAGGTGATGGAATTATGTTTTAATAATCTTTCAATTTATTTTTTGCAGAGGTTTATTAATGCCTAGAATTGTCGTTAGCAGTCATGGTGGTAAAAGGTCTGATGTTGGTCATCTCGGCAGTGGAATTTATTTTGCTGATTCACTTAAGTATGCAAGATTATTATTTTACGACCATAAGATATCCTCTAGTTCCTGTATTTAATACCCTTTAAGAAAATGGAAGTATAAACCCGTGATTTTATTGAATCACTAGCTCTTAACCATTTTCCAATAACAAAGTTTACTAGTGATCAGATTCGCTTTTTTTCCAATCAAATAGGAAAATTTCCGTTACAATTATAATGTAGGCTTATTATTTCTGATATTAAAGTAGGAAGCATTTGATACTCTCTGAATAGTGACTATTGCAATTTTAATTACGATCTTCAACATTTTTATTTGATATTTATTGACAACTTAAATAGCAGTAAAATTAATACTATCAAGCAATGATTATTAACTATTCGAATATCTATCTAAATTTGTTTTAGCACCAGCTTGCAGTTTACTGATGTTGGGAAAATGTCTGGAAATCGAATGATGATTATTAGTGAAGTTGCTTTAGGCAAGAGCAAGGTAAGTTACGCTATGGGTATAGCAAAATGCTACGACTGTTAAATACTCTATATACAAGCAAGAAAAAATTAACTATTACTAATGTTTTCTAATTGTAATAGGAATATACTAATAAACAGACAGAATTAAAGTCTCCTCCACAAGGTTATGATAGCGTAATTGGAATTGCTGAAACTGAACAACAATCATCCATGTATAAGGCAATACTAGCTATTTACGAAGTACTTGGCGTTATAATCACCTTATCAATATCGAAATTTATTCGACTTATAACTTTTAATTGCAGAATAACGAATATGCTATATTTGATGAAAAGCAACAAAAACTCAGGTAATTCTTTATGCGTATATCAATCTATGCTTTAAAGTAATATTAACTAGGTTAAAATTTCTTTTCAGATATTTAGTCGAATTCAACTTAGCTAGCGATCCGAAAACGACATCAACGTTAAAATTAAATTATCCGGAAACTTTGCAAGATCAGCCTGCGCCTTCGCATCTGTTTCTTGATAATTCAGGTCAATATTAATATTGTAGCAATATAGAGAATCGATTTCATAGCAGGATACAACTTATAAGTGTTCAATTCCTATATTCATACCGTCAACCTTAGCCGAAATTGATATAACCAAGCTACTAAATGGGACAGCCAAAAGAGTCAGTGAAGCTGGATTAAAGACTTCAAATGATATTTCCATACCATTAACAGACGTTCATTTCAGAGCTAAATTATTGGATTTAGCCGCAGAGGTAGACATAATTTACACTGTGAAAGGGTACTAAGAGTATGAATTAGGATAGAGAGTATATATTTTAATGGCCTTTGTTATAATAAAATAGTTAATTTAGAATTCCCATTATAGTGTAAATTGCATATAACTTTATTAAGAGCTAAATTCGTTCTGAAGAGATCGAATTTAAACTGAGATATCGATGATGGCAATTGACTAACGATTATTTAGTGCCAATGCTGATATTCTAAATTTCATTAAAAATTGATTTATTAGTGACCTTGACTAATTATTCTGCTAATTTATTTATAGGTGGTGGTATTACAATGCTATTTTAACAAATCATCACAACCAATTGAAGCAAAATATGTATTTCCTCTGGATGATAGAGCAGCAGGTAATTCATGAATATTAATTACGATAGTTTGTAATTTGAGGTTTATGGGTGATAGGTAAAGCTCACTTGCATGAGGTCTACCAGGCTATAATTACGGAGGAAAATGAAGCATTTCGCACAGCTAATATTAAACATAAACTGAGTGCTTAATTGTATTTTGCAATTAAAAGTATACAAATTTCTATTACTGTGCAGTTAGCTAAAGTATAATTGGCTAGTATGAGCAGTAATAAAGAAAAAAAATGATATCGAAGATTATTTTTTGATTGTTTGACGAGCTGAAATGCCCATATGTAGTACTAATTTTATTCCATCCCTACAGTATGTGGGTTTGAAGCCTTTATCAATAACAAACATATTATTGGCCAAGTCAAAGAAAAAGAGAAAGCGCATAAAGAATATGAAGCTGCTGTAGCTAGAAAAGATGGAGCTTACCTAATGGACGAAGAATCACCAGTATGAACTTTCAAACACAACATAGCTACTATTTCATTAATGAAAATCATTTCAACTTTTTACGTATTTAATGAGAGCGGTTGCGGTAATTTCCTGTCTACAATAAGTTTATGTTAACATACGAGTATATAAGTTAATAACCACAGGCAATATTAGCCATCTTTTGAAATTCACTTCCTTTCAATGCATAGAAAGTTAAGCAGTATTGCTTTATATTTACCATTTCTTTAGGATATTTTTACTGTCAGCGTTGGGAATTTACCTCCTAATTCTAAAGTATTAATCAAAATAACTTATGTCACCGAGTTGTCTATGGAAGGTGACTGTTTCGACTTTTTCCTGCCATCTAATCTGGCTCCGTGGAAAAAACAAGAAGCACTATCCAATGTAACCCAGGTTTGCGTAGAATTTTTACTTTCATCGCTAGACATATGGTTAATTAGTATCTAACTACTGAAATTTAAAATCTCATTTAGGATGCAGTGAGTACGGTCAAGATTAACGAAGTCAAATCAGTGTAAGGCAAAAACTTTAAGAAATGATACTTTTATTATTGAGTAGAGTACATAGCAATAAATATAGTCGGATTATAAAGTTAAAATGCAATAGTTATTTTACTAAATAATACCTTCTTGGACGGTGTACTGGTAATTTAAGCGCCAGCGAGATTTTAAAAGCCTGACAGTAATTTGCTAGCTATCGTTTATAGAGAATAAGATCCCCTATCTTGCAATTATTTTACTGCACTCGAGGGTTTATGTGCTTGATTATTTCATCATTATTGATAATAGCAATGCAACGGTTCAGGTTCGAGTTGAAATGCCGTTCGAAATTAGATCGATTAGCTCGCCAACACATCAAATTAGACAAAAAGTAAGCAATTCATTCTTTATCCAATAAAAATAAATAAAACGAGATAACGAAGCAATAATATTTACAGACGACTGCTACTAAAGCTGTGGTGGAAACTGGACAAATGACAAAGTTCGATAATGGATTTCGATTATTAATACGATTAGCGGAAATTCACGTACCAAGAATGTGGGTTGAAAAATATCCAGATACTGATAGCCAGGTCAGTTGTTTCTATTCTATCTCGAAGTCAGTGCGAGAAAATAAGGATAGAAGTGCTTAAATAATTCATAGTCATTCTTAGTAATGGCCAATATTGATAGAGAAGATACCCAGTCAGGCTTTGCCGTTTAGTATAATTGTACGCGAGATATAATATCGAATAATTTAATATTAAATTCGATGGTCTTAAACTATCTTCAAATTCTGATTCAATGAGTATAGTAGAATCAAATTAAACCGGTTTTGTTCAGTATAACCGCACATAAATGTCAAATAATTTAACTATATAATCTTGATAGTATTAAATGCTATTTAATAGTCTAATATTTATTGAACCGTTATAATACAGATGCATCTTTATGTGTACCTCTAGGCATGCATGTTAACTTTCTATCCAGAGTTTGATGTAACAGAAAATCCTCGACCAGAAATTATCATAGCTCTAGATATGTCAAATTCCATGAAGGTGCCGTTATTACATCTATGAATTAGTTATAAAGTTTGTTTGATTACCAACATTCTATTCTATGTTGATACGTCATAAAAAAGAAATTTCAATTAGGCAAGAGCCGTTATTGCCCGTAATCGTAGACAAGCAGTTGTAACCACGATCGTTCCTCTAGTCTAGAAATGAAGTAATTAAAATATGAGTTAAAATGAGAAATATAAGATAATTAATAAACACTGTATAATGAATAGATCCAATAATATCTCCTAGTATATTCTTAACTAATATAGAATTGACATACATCACATTATCAACGCAGTATAATTAATATATGTAGATGCAAGATTACAGTAACGACATAAAAGAATATTTCTTTAAGATTCTTTTAGTCTACTTTAGTAGTAAAGAAATCGGAACAACGATATTTCCAAATGCCATCATCTATATTTCGAAAAGCTTTATTTATGTCTTATTTTACTACTAAGCCCAATAATTCTATCAATAACTGTAGCAATGCTTAATGGATACCCAGAAGATTGCAGCTTTAATCTTGACGAATCTTCCTCCAGAGTGTCGATTTAATATTGTTGTATTTGGTTCAGGTAAATGCAACCAAATTACTGTTGCACAAAGTAAATCTAAAAAAATTGACATAAGTTAAATCGTGTCTTGATTGTTTTCTTAGCACATAACGAGCTATTCCCGATGTACCAAGAAGTGAGTAAAGAATCGGTTAATATGGCAATAAAATTTATCGGAGTAAGTAGATAATAAATCTGGAAAATAAATATTCATAGTAGTGTTTAAAAAATTCATAGATAAAGGATTAGAGCTAATAGATTTACGATTCTAGTACATGACTATTGCCTTGAGAAGCTACAATCATCAGTTAACATAATTATTTTATGATTTATAGTCCTTGTCGGCGTCTTGGGGAAATAGCAATTTTTACCACGTTATCGATAATTTTACGCATATCGTTAAAGAACTAAAAGCCAATTCCGTTTCTAACGTATTCTTAATTTCCGATGGACATTTTGGCGATGAAAATTCCATTACTGCCATTTTAAGGCGTGATAAAATAGACAATTTGAGATTATTTACCTTTTCTACTGGGTCAGTAGTATTTTTAATATTTCTGATACTCGATTTTATGAACCAAGTCATTTAATATTAATGATAATCCAATAAGATCTGATATAAAGAAGAATCCGCATAATCGGTTTGCTAATTTATCTTCTCTACGCATACAATAGAGATACGAGTAATCGTTATTTTATGCGTACTTTGGCGAAAATTGGAGCTGGCTATCATGAACACTTCGATACAAAATTTAGATCCAAATGGCAACAAAAGGTTCAAAAATCGTCGTATAATGAGTGATTGAAGGGATAAAATATATTCTGGCCTAATATATTTAAAATTTATCCTTTGTTTATACTATTTCACGTGTTATATCTAATCTAACCTAATTAGATACAAAATCAAATTTATAAAGCTTCTCAACCAACATTAACATCAGTAGCTGTCCACTGGCAGCAATTTGATGATAATCCTCAACAACTTATGCAGGTGATTATAGTCAAATTCTGTATACATTCAGTGAATCTATCGGCTGCTAGAATTGAATAAATCTTCAAATTTAGCTCCTTGGGTATCGATATAAGAGAAGATTTAACACTATTACTTCAATAAAATAAATTACCTTTGATTGCAGACAATATTTTAATTTTCTTTTACAATAGGCTCCCGCTGATATCGTTAGTTTGTTTAATGGATCAAGACAAGTTATATATGGTTTTGTTTCCAATTGTACGCAGGTTAGGAAATAGAATCTTTATCTCACGAGCATTTGTAATTTTTGTAATGATCCTGTTAGTATTTTATGACATGAATTATGCCTGATTAATAGGCTACTTTGGAAGCCAGCATTGGTGAAATCCAAATTTCTACTGTCGTATCTACATCCGAATTGTGTATCACAACAGGAAGGGTGGGTCTTAATAAAATTAAAACTTGGGTTTCACGCAATAGTTATCCTTAGGTTGAAATGGAGACTTTAGCTTAGTCGTTGTTCGATTTTCAGGCTTCTATTCATAATTACATTAGTAAATGTCATTTTACACATTAATTGATTGGTGCATTGACTGTAATAGAGCAAATAACGTTTAATCTAAGTATTGGTAATTGGTAAATGAGGAGATAGATTTGCAAATAATGTAGAAAATATTAAAAACATGATATTGGCACTTTAACTGTGTCATATTTAAATTCGATTTTTGAAATCTATTTTAAACCTTAAATTTACTATCAATATCACTAGATTCTACATCAATTGACAGCGCGAGCTCTAATTCGTGATTACGACGACGGAGTCTATAATATAAAGCGCACCACCCATGAGGTAGCTATCAAAAATATCAAAATGGGAACGCAGTGTAATCTATATTATAGATAATTAGATATTATGAATAACCGCTATGACGATGTACAGGCTTTTAAAATAGATCGGAAAGAAGATATCATTAAAATAAGCCAACGCTATTCTATTGTCAGCCCATTTACGAGTTTCGTAGCCATTGAAGATCGTAGCCAGGTAGCATAAATGAGATATCTTGTCGCAGAGATTAAAATAAACAGCAGATTTATTTATTAAATGTAAATATAATTTACACTTTCGTACAGGACCAAAGTGACCGAAGAGAATCCTTCGATTTAAGTAAATTAATAAGACTTGAAGACATCGATGATCTATCTTATGTGGGTTGGAGAGGAAAGACGGTAAGGCGATCCTATAATTGGCAGTACTAATTTCAACGTTAGCTAAATGGACACGGTAATTATTTTGTTATTCTAGCAGTAGTTGTATTTACATCCAAAAGACGGAAGTAAAATAGAACACCGATTGCTCTTAAATTTCTATATTAAAACTTATCTATCATTTAAGTAGTAAACTATTTAAAGTAAATTAGCTAGATTCGAATTATTCCAGCAAGCTTGTACTTCCAATGCTTTTAATCCACTGTCAACAAAGTATCAGTAACCCTAGCAATCAATTCTATATCGCATACTCAATATTGATATGTTACTATGGGTATAAAATTTGCTTCGGTATGGTAGCTTTTGTATCTAGTTTATAGTTTTAATAATTTGCGATCTCTAATATGACGATCATGTTCTATTCCATTGGCAATATCAGTTATCCATTTACTTACTTGAATGGTAACTTTGTTTCATGTATCGGCCAGGAAGACGATAATAAAGATAGTATGATATCTGGTAAAAAATCTGGAATTGGAGATTCACGACAATCTTCCAGAACGAGAGAAAATGTGATTCGGTGTTATACTCCAAGTTCATTCCCTTCAAGCTGTGCAAGTACGTCATCGGATGAATTCTCTACAAATAGCGAATCAAACTATTCTATAATATCGGAAACGGAATTACCGGAGTTTTCCGATCCTGAGGTTACCATTGATGTTATCAATAAAGATGCGGAAGAGGAAGATGAAATTGAAGAAGAAGAAGCAGCATATTGCTGTGGAATAGATGAAGATGAAGAAAATGATGATGATTTATGTAATGAATATATATTAGAGGCGAAAGAAGGTACTAGGATCGTATCAGATGATTTTAATGGTCTACTTTTAGGAAGTAATCAATGGATAAATAATAATTCTAATACTTCAATACATGAGAATAGATTAATAAAAAACTAGCCTTACCTTAGTAACTAATTTTGGCTGGATTTGAAATTAATATAAATCATTATAAAGTACCGTTATCACTTAAAAGTTTGAATTCCTTGCTTAAACATTAAATTTGATTAATGACATCTATCGAGCCAGATGAGTGTGAACCAGAAATTTGCAAGGCATTTTCAAGTAAAGCAATTGATGACAGCGAAGAAGGGGAAATGCTTGCTTTACCTAAAAAGGTTTTTCATTGCTTAAACTAGAGCATTATTTAGCCATGATGAGATTATTTACCAATAGAGCAATTTACAACTTGGTAATATAGATATATTGTCCGTTTTTCTTCCCTACGTATAGCATTTAATGCGATTTACATTAATGTATTCAATGCTATTCATTATTCTAATTCTCACTCAAATATGAACTTCTGATTAATCATTAGTACAATATGCATAATTATGAGACGATAACAATATTAAGCTCATTATTTAAAATTACAATGATAATTACAGGTAGTACAGCATTGATTCTTATAGTTTTAAGTTATAGCCCTCTTAGTAAAGGCAAAAATCGTCAACTTACTACAAGTTCATTTTTAATTTCATTCTGCTTTTACAATAACAATGAATCTTTAAAGTTGCCTTCATAGCATTACGTAACAAAAAACACCTTATAGAACTTGTTTAGCAATTTCATTGCTCCATCTTATTTCATTTTTAGAAAGAATTTTACGCGGCTGCAGGTAAACATTTCAAAATTATACCCACCATGAAGAAGAAAGCCTTATCCAAAAAAAAAATGGACAGGAGTAATCATAACTTCATACTAGCTGATTCGATCTATAGAACTCAAGGCATCATTAGCTTATTCTAGTCTGTCAGGTAAAATTTATTTTATATAAGAAAATCTTTTTATTCGTTTAAAAGGGACAGAAAAGGTCCTTGACGATCAATTTGGGAACTTTTATGATCCATCGACCTCATCAAAGCACCTTTCAACTCGAACGTCTGAGAAGGTGAGCAATTACTCTTACTGAGTATAAAAATTAGGTTTGGACATGCTTGAGGAGTAAATTATCGATACAAATTCAATTTCCGTCTTTAGCTTGAAAGAGCAATAGTAGGTAGTTCTGAAAACTTCTCCATGGAAGAACAGACGTATACGGCAGAAATAAAAGATGAGAGAACGCAAAGTAAACAGTAAATCTATCTATGAAATTTCAAATGATATTCAATATGTATATATAGTATATATCTATCAGATAGAAACTGTCTATTAATCGTTATTTTTATATTTCCAATAAATTAAGAACTATCTATAGGTATGAAGCAGACTAGAGGTGCATTAGATTCTTCTATAGAAGCAATTTCATCATTTAATTCAAATTCTCCACGTACTGCTCAAGATGGCCTTCAAGCAGGGGTTAGTAAAACTTAAAGTGTATTCAAACAGCTTCAGAATTTGAATTTTGCTCTGGGAAGTCATCATCCATTATATTATATTTGCTTTTTATCAGCAGAAATTAATTCGGAAGTTTAGAAGCCTAGCTACTCTCAGAAGAATGGAGGAGTCAAGTAATAATATAATTGAATTTTACTTATTAAGGCGATATTTTGCGTAGAATAACTAAGCTGGCAGTTTCATTTTTGGATAGAAAATGAGCTTTAATAACTTGTATGCATTTATATATCTATGCTATGTTCAATTTACACTCGCACAATAGATTAAGGTATTTTATTTAACTGAAATAGCTTAAAAAATTAAAATCATGTTATATACAGCTATCCCACCTCCTCCGTCATCTTTAGGACCCACACCGACTTTAAGATCTCAACATTTTCGGATAAGTAAAAGTCGGATAGCTTCAGGACCTCCGCCAGCACAAGCATCTCAACCATGTCCACCTCCTCCACTTCCAGGATCTTCAGCATCTGAGCTATTCCCGCCTCTTTCATATTCACAATCTAAGACTAATGAAGAACTATTAGTTCAACAAATACACAAGCCTAAACCAAGTTCGTCTATTGAAATAAACAAGCACAAGGCGAAGATAGAATATCAATACGCTAGTATGAATGGAGCTAAGGAGGATATTGTAGAAATAGAACCTAACAGGGCGGCTAAACTTGGTTCACTGGCAACTTCTGCTAAGGCCTTAAAAGGATTCTTACGTGTCGGGAGACAAACTAATAGCTTTCTATCTAGAACTAACTTTAATTCTTTAGGCGCAAGTGCTGATGATCATTCTAATTTAGCTAAGGAGGAAACATTAGACGATGATAAGAAGGTAGAATACAGGCAAATGAAATTCAGAAAATCTAAAGCGCTAGCAAAAAAGTACAAATCTGCGAATACTAAAGACAATCTTGTTGATGAGCCTGAAAATCCAAGTAAGAATTAAATTGCAATATAATCAATTTATTAATAATTTACCCGCACTAAATTATGTTCTAATAGCCAGTAAGTTAATCTAAGAAAGAGTTTGTAGATAAATTATATTAGTCGAGAAATTAATCCTAATCGTTTTAATTATTCATAGAGGAAATGAAAAATTTGACCTATATAAATTGCAGGGAATTGATGATGTTTCAAGTATCGGTACGAAATAATTTAATATAATAAAGTCATGATTAGAACATAGACTTACACTATCGATATAAGGAATCTTTTTAAAGATACACTAACGATAAGCTGTTTTTTATAGCTGCCGATGTTTAGTATAACAGGATATCGTAAACTGATATTTCTTAATATTTAAAGGATGGTTATTGGGAAGTAACACCGGAAATAGCTGCAATAATAAGAATATCTGTGGAAAAGTTATTTAGATTACTAACTGAAGCTGGAATTTATTCATTGGGTAAAATCGAATTAATCTACAGTAGTACTTTCAATACTATCATGCCATTGTAACTGATACTTTTATACCATGTAAAGTTTGTTCTAATATTTAATTTTATTCACTTTATTTAGGCTCTAAAGCTTGTAAAGATATTGTTCGTATGGTATTTACCAAGATTGTAATCGTTATTCTTGGAAAGATTGCACAGTTGCAGGAGTCACTAGCACGTGCTACGAAATGGCTGGTATTCATGGATAAAAAATATCCATCGCTGCTATATCGTTTTGAATTAGGATCAAATTGGGAATGTGTGGCTAGAAAATGCCAGCTTTAGGAAATTACATGATTTTGACTACGGATGATTCCATACGGTAAAAGAGCTAAAGAATACACTTTAAATTTTTCCTTAATTCACAAAGCGATACGTCTGCTTTATTCTATCGTCGTTTATTTAATGTTTTATCTCTAACCAAAATGTGATAGGTATGTAAAAACTTTGCTTACTATGTCGGCCAAGTTTACTGGTATTTTTAATTTTATATTCTATAACTAATCTCATGTCCAAAGTTTTGGCTATGGACTCCTATGATATGCTATAACACAGCAAGTAGATTCAGTTCTGCGTACAATTTTACATTTGAAATGTATTACTATAAAACTAATTACGACTTCAGGCCATAAAACTGTATTATCTGCTTGATGCGAATTGATCAAATCATTTCCAAATATATCAATTTGCGACCATAATACATCAATAATTTTGAAGGAAGTTTAATTTATTTGTAATAAATTGGTGTTATAAATCTTTGAAATAATTTTTGGGAGTATAATTGATAGAGCTGATGTCACTTTTCGGTATATTATACTTTTGGGCCTAAATTTTATATTTCAGAACATATTGAGTTTATGCATACTCGTATAATAAACAATTTAATATTTTGGTCTATTTAAGCTGTAAAAACAAAAGCAAAAGCAAAAGCATGTATTCAATGCAGGGAGTTGGTTCGCATTGCAAGGTGACTTCTTGCTCTTTCTTACCTATGAAGTCGCGCTTTCGTTACAAGTTATGACTTAATATGGCCAATGAAGTTGCCACTAAATACTGATTCTCTCCTTAGAGCATTAAAATAGTTATTATCCAGTGTTATATCACTTGCTAATAATATTCTTTGCCTTATGCTTACGAGATTCATAGAAGCAAGAACAAGTTAATAATCTCATGATTTCTGATATACACCAAAATTCATTGAAAGGCTACTACACCTAAATTTATGTTTACCAATAGAGCGTCTGATAGATCAATACAAGGAAGTATATGTAATGACTAGCGCGTATTTCCTCTTCATAAAGAAAATAGATAGTTATAATTGTTGTACTTATCAATATAGTGTATTTTGCTTTAGCTTTAGCTAGAGAAGATACGCATTATTACTAAGAGACCAATTAAATTTATTTTTATGTCAATTATTTTTGAGATAGAATATTGTTTGTAATCATAGATGTTATTTTGTTAGGATTATCGCAGCAGTCAATGTTAACGAACATTAAACTTTAGTCCTGTACACTATTGACGACTTGGAAATTCTCGAACTCTATAGTAATCACATTATGCAACTTATTTAATATGGGAATCAAAAGCTGCTGATGATTGAACTGTGTCTTGGACATTTATAGTTACTAAATTTAAAAGGCTAAAACTTTAGTATAATTGGATAATTATATCCTTAATTTACATTAGGCGCAGTTTAATCAAAAGTATAAAAGGAGAGGTAGTAGCTAAAAATATTAATTTGACTTACCTATTCTTGAAGACTGAACTAGGAAATGCGAGTCTAACTCGTAAGTTCTTTTATTATACGCAAGCAACTATTATTGGTGTTTGGTGGTGATTGAGGCTAGATGCTGTGTCTTAGCCCGTAATGTTATTCGCTATACTTTTATTAATGCTTGATGGAGACTTAGTCTAGGCGCTACGTGTTAGACTTACAAGTTTTAAATTTCTATTTTCTTCTAAAATATTTTGTTTGAATGCTTCACGGTTGCTTTGATTGAATCATTTAATAATTTGCTTTATTGCCTCTATCAATTAAGTATTTTATAGAATTACTCACAATAATATTTAGTCTTAGCACCTACTGACATGCACGCCTACAGTACATATTAGTGTTAGGTAGAGTACGATTTTAAGCCTACCGAGAGTTATACACTGCTAGGTTAGAGAATATCTGTCTTTTGAGATAGAGAGGTTTTAGCTTATAGCGGCTTCAAATAAAGAATTGCAATAATATCAAATTTATTTAATAGCAATGCTGATATCAATATCGGTAGGATAATACATTACAGTACTGTACTAGTAATTGAACTAATTGTTCACTATGGGGTAATAGACTCTTAAAAATCATGAATATCAACTTTAATTAATAGAACTGCAGGTTTGTATTCAAATTGAGAATTATATTGCTAGTATCTGCCTCTTCGACAATCTGCTCATTGTAACAACTCTATCAAGAGCCACCTTTATCTGATCATCATCTAAGATCTTTAATTTTATTTAGTTGCTAGTCCTATATTTAATAAATATCTTTAATTAGGCCGTAAATGAGGCTATATCCGAAAATTTGATTAATATTCTCGATCGGTTTTTTGAAATTTCAAATAAATATTACAATCTAAGTACCTCTGTATTCACGGCCAGATAACTTTACTGAATCATTAATAAAATACCATCATTATTTAGCTATAGAAACGTTAATTAGAGAAATTACTAGACTAAGTTAAATTACAGTAATGTCAGAACAAAAATGAAATTTCTATCCTACTGTATGTTAATAAATTTTTATGGCTATTAAAAAGAACGACTTATCCCAAGAACTTTGATTCGTTACAACTACTATTCTTATATAATTAAGTAATCACTGTCTACGAATAATTTAACGTTATGTCTGAGTATTATTGTACTGTATATGTACTTCGAATAATAAGATACGTAACTCGTATAAATACATAATTCAATAATTAAATGCTTAGAAAAATTTGCAACTTAACATGATGCATTATATTTGCAAGGTTAGCGCATTGAGAACGTCAATTAAAATATTAAATTGGTAGTACTTGTATTGCATTTGATTTAAGAATTCTCGGCCTAGTGTTAATTAATTAATTTCATTGGCAAAATGTCTATTATAGCTATATACGGGTACTAAAAATAAAATTTATCTTAGTTTAAATTTTATAGTAAGATTATCTAGAACATTTAGACGTCAAACTCTTCATAAATGATATGCACTAGAGTGTTGGAGCGTAATAGAAGCAAATTGCCACGCATTTAGGCTTTTACTGGACTCACATTCAGAATTTGAAAAAGAAACTCCATTTAGTGTCGCCTGCCAATGCCAAGCCATGCCTTATAAATTGACCTCTGATCAATCAAAGACATTTACAGTAGAAATTTTAATCGATGTACCGCTCAAGCACCATCTATATTCGGTTGCAGAGAAGCTACGTGCAGCAGTACTCAAAGATGCAAATAGAAGCTAAGACGATATTAGAAGGGCTTAGCTATGTACAAAATTCTCGACAATATTAATCAGAGTTAGAATAGATTATATTGTACGATTATACCAGCGTGTTTTCTCGTATATATTATTCACATTACACTTATTAAAGTCCCAATTGCGTACATGTTTATAGCCTATTATTGTAGGTGATGATGAACAAATCTATTTTACTTTTTACCAGGCAGGGTATGTTACGGACATTACAAATATTGGTATATTAAATTTGCTTTATTGGCGGTATTTGAATTAAGCGCTGAACAAATAGGACTAGAACAGGATTACTAACTCGAATTTACATGATTTAAACGTTATTGATTATCAATCAGTTTATAGCTAGTTCTTGTTAGTTTACAATTCAATTACCCTACTCATACCATTGATGCAAGCTCAAAATACTATAAGGATCACTGATGATTATTCCTAGTATTAGATGCTACACTTAAATTACTGCTGAATAGTAAATTTTTACACGCTAATATTAAGTAGAAGTTTTCACCTACCGATAAGAGCAAGACATGCTAATGTAGAGCGCTGCCACATTGTTTATACGAATAAATTTATTTGCATTTTGTATAGAAATTGACCAATATTAAGAGCGAATAAAATAGATATATGTAATTGTAATCTTCTAATTTCTGAGAGAGGTTGAATGATAAATTTGTACTCCCCTAATATTACGTCTGCCATTAGAGTGTCTAATAAAATAATACAATAAGTTGATAAAACGTCTATTGCTGTACTATCTGCCATATACTATTTGTAGTTACTAAAAGGTTAAAAGACATCTACGATGATTGCTTGAAAATACCCGTTTGGTTTTAAGCCTATTTTATAAGCCATGCTCATATATAGCACTAAATTATCAACTCACTGTCAAAATAATTGGTAATGTATGCGCATAAGCTTGTATTTATGTTCTATTTTCATATATATATATATATATTTATCTTTTGCTTTATCGTATGATGCAATACCAGCTGACAATAAGGACATGCACCAAGTTCCTCATAATCTGATATCAATATCTATTTGGTAATTACAACACGTAGAAAAACCAACGGCTAAAGATTAAAGTCAGGTAGTTTGATAAGGTATCATTCATTTTCAGGTACTGCTTTTTAATTTGTTTATCTAAATAAGAATTTTATTGCTTTAATGTTTCTTGTACCACTAATGATGAAAGCTATAAAGTTTAAAGGCAGGAACTACAAGATTACGTTATTTCTGCTGAATTGTCTATCCTCTACAAATCAAACAAATAAAGACCATCATGTAAGAAACTTTACTAAAGTATGAGTCAGTGATTGATAGATTCCACTTCATGATAGTAATTGCAAGAAAATCTACCAATTTTATGAAGACAAGCAAAGTATTGAAATAATTAGCAGGAGTGCGAGATTAATTTGAATATTTTCCACCTCCGTCCCGGTGCAGCATGATTTTCTTGTAGCACTCAGTCATGATAAATAGGTAATGGTTGATAAACTGTTAACAAACCATTAAAACAATCTGTAGGTAGGATAGATTAGTGGATGCATCTTTAAAAATTTAAACTCTCTAACGCCATCAACTTACCATTTAAGTGTTGATTAGTGCAGCAGCAAGTAACTTAATTATTAGAATTGTAACCCCCGTAAAACCACCAGCTTCGCTAGATATTTTTCAAAGATTTACAATTTCTTAAAAACGACTATGCAACGTTTTCATTGCCCATTGACTCCCATCGCCACGAGTTTCACTGACTTCATTGATGATTGCAATCTGAGGTAGAATAAAATAGTCGACGTATCATATCATGAAACTGAGCTACAGTAAAATGCCATGAACTAAACAATATTATCTGGGTTATTGAATAACCTCTACCCTCATTTTTATAGCCCTTTATCGATGGCGCATGAAACAACGTCCAGGAGAGATACCTATCAATCTAGAGAGAACATAAAATATTAAAAATAATGGCTAACACGAATTAATATGCCAATAGATACTCGAGGATATTAGATCCTCTAGAATCAGTAAATTCGACTGAAAGAGTAGCTTTTAATATATTTGTAGTAATATTCTGACTTCATACTGGTACGTATCCATATCACATAATTTTCAGCTTTAAGTTGAAGTACAGTGTATCGCTTCCTTGCTCTCTTTAGTTACCTCTTGTTCGAATTAAATTTTCATTTAGTGCAAGCCCCAATGTGCCATGCAGTTGATATTTGATACGCAGCAACTTAATTAAAGAAATTAAAACAATGTTTGAATTGAAGCCAATGTTCATTAATTACTTATTCGCTTAACTAAATAGATATCAGCTATGGTACCCACTATATCGTATCGTTTCTACGCCTGAATTTTTTATTCATTTCATTTCTTTAAAGTTGATAGCCTATAACCAACACACCATGTGGATCATTGAATTGAATTTAGACTAGATCATGACCTATAAAGTTACACGGGTTAATTTGTCAACTTTGGCTTAATTAATGTTTACGCATAATATAATTAAAAATAGAAATTTATTTGGAGAAAAACTAAAACTACTACAAAAAAAATAAATATTATGGGCCTACTGTCAGGATTGTCATCTCTAAAATCTAGCTGCAGTACCGGTACGACTCTAAGTCCTGACTACATCCACATCATTAGCGAATTGCAGTAAACCAACAATCTCTCTAAGACAATAATTGGCCCAAACTTTATTGAAATGTCAGCCAATTTAGAGTACAGTGATAATAACATTAGTTATCAGCATATAGATAATATTATACAACTATGCAGTTATCCATTAAAAAATATGCTAACCGTCATAGATAAATTGATATCAACTAGATAATTTAGCTTTCACGAGCACGGACTTCTAGGTATCTAGTAGTCTATGTCACGAGTCAATTATCAATATAAATAACATAACTTAGTTCTGGATCGTAGATTATTAGTCATCTTTGATATGAAGTGAGGCAGCAGAATTTATTACATTCATCTAAAGGCATCCATAGTAGCTCAGAGCCATAGAATATCTTATAGATTTATTAGAGTCCTGATGATCATACACACAGTAAGGTATTAAGTCACTACAGATATTTGGATAAGAATAGTATCGCAACTCATGTATTAGGATATGGTTACTTTATTGTACTTTAACTGCCAAATATGATGTCTAAGTTAATACTGTGACTATTACCACACTGGATGACAGATTAATCGCTGTAAGATATTATTAGTTACTACCAATAAATTGTAAAATTAGGTAAAATGTAAATATGCGTATACTGATTATAGCCGCAAATGCTACGAAAAGTATGCAGGTACAAGCAGTCAACTTCGGAATATCCTGGTACTTTCTTTTAGAAGTCTTTCTACTTATTGTATTAGGCTAGAGTAGATGTGTGCAGATTATCTTTGTATTAGCAATCTAATAAAGTTCTAATTCCCTACAACTTTTTAAATCCCCTAATCGATTTTATCGAAATAAATTGCGTCATAGCCAATAAGTTCTCGGATAACTACCTATATATTACGATTTCTATGCAAAAGTTACTCTATAACAGATATACGACTATACAGTAGAGAATTTCGTTAACGGTTTACTTTAATTTACGCATGTATTTTTCTCGATATGACATAAGGAAAATGAACATGTTTCGCAAGACATAACGATATGTATGTTGGGTAGTTAAGCTAGATAGTTCCGTTAATTGTTTAAAATAATGCTATTACTGGATTCGTAAATTGGATTCAATTTGAATTAATACTAAAGAATAAAATTTTAGATAGTTATCAGTTAGCAAGTGAATTTGAGAATTCTATCTCTGTAACACCTGTATTTGTAATCTACTTAATTAGCTACATAGGATACTAAATAAATGTTTTCGTAGTATATACTTCCCATTCAGATATTTTACGTATATCATTTAGCTGTCTGACCTTACTTGAAAAAATATTACCTAGGAAATTAGAACAGTTTGAAAAGAATT